ATTATTTCAAAAATTAAAAGAAAAACAGTTCTGCAAACAAACTGAAACTCAAAACATCTAAGAAATGTGACAAAATAAACAATATGCATTCATGAGTTGTAGCACAAGACAGTAAATATTCTTTAATACGGGAACATGGATATTTTTATTAATAAACGCCAACTATGAATATTATCACCGATGATATTCTTAATTGTGGTGCTCGACTGGATTATGCGTCAGACTGTGCACTGGGAGTGATGAGACAAGAATACGCTGGACCACCGATAAGAAGACTCAAGAAGATCTGGATTTCACAGATGACATATGTCTAAAGTCACACAAACTAGAAGACTTACGGGAGAAAACCAATAAACTGTCTAAAGAAACGGCCAGAGAACACAGGACTGCAGGTGAACATAGAGTAGACGGAGGTGGTGAGAATAACCAACCAACAGCAACAACAAAAGCCAGCACCAATCATCATCAACAGGATAGCTTTAACAGAGGTTACCTCCTTCACTTATCTAGGTAGCATCGTTTCAACTATAGGCATTCGGAACGGATGAAGATGTCAAAGTCAGACACGATGGATCATAAAGGCGAGATACGCCTTCATCAACCTGAAACCAGTTTGGAAATCTTCTGCACTGACTCAGCCAGCATAAAGAACAAGATTCGGATTCTGTTCAACACCGATGTCATGCCAGTCGATCCTTCTATACGGGTCAGAAACTTGCACTGCGTGTGAGTCACGCAAAGGAATTCCAAAAGGCCACTGCAGACTTTTATCAATAACTGCCCCCTTCGCTGGCTGGCTCCATACTGAAGATCAAATGGTCAGCTGGCCAGAAGGAATCAGCAAGAAGAAACTCTGCCTGGGGACAAACCAACGATGAGCCGATAGCTCAACAAATATGTAGGAGAAAATGGAGATGGATCAGACATACATTGAAGAGGCCTTCGAATGACATCGTGTGCAATGCAGGCCATTGCTCGAAATCTGAATGGGAAGCGACGAGTGGGACATTGGTGAGAGGGTGACATGGGGGAGATCGTTTACCGAGGAGGAGGAGATGAGAGATTATGGGCAATTGTTACTGAAGCCCTATGTTCCACTCGGAAACTAAGGGAATAATAATAATATAATAAATTTTACCATAAGTAACTTTGAAAAAATTACATGAAAATGTGCTTTTAGAAAATTATCATAAGTCAGAGTATGTATTAAAACGGGAAAGAGTACATGTTGTTAAGAACATCTATCCATCCATTTGAGAACATTTGTGATGATGGTATGCAACTGTGAAGATAATAACAGATACTTGACAATCACTAGTTACTACGTACTACTGACTGAACGAGATGAGTAGTTGAATAGCATTCACATCAACCAGTAGTGCTTACTAGTCAGATCAAAGTGATATAAACACCAGATGGCCGTTTCGCTCGTGTTCGCAGCCAAGTTCATCAGCAATATCCCCCAAGGGGCACAACTCACACAGCCGAATCAGTTCAAATCATCCAATTTCTACCTTAAATCTAATTGGCAGTTTGCAAATTAAATTGCAAAGAATTTTCAGGTACTTATGATAGATTCATATAATTCCAGTGAATAATAAATAATCAATTTTTTTTTCTGACTTTACTCATTGTCTTAAACTAATTTTATCTTTAAAGAAATTTGAGAGACGAATCCAAGTGTGACTTTACACAGATATGCATCATTTCAGGTTGTCACACACAGTAGTAGAGAAAAGGAATGCTATGAAACTGCAACAAATGAGAGGTGTATGGGGAGGGCGAGTGCCGAAGAAAATGACTAAATAGAGATTAGTAACGTTAACTGAAGTCTACAAAGAGTGAAGATATCTAATCAGTTGTAGACGATTTCGCACTTAACCATCAATAATCCTCAACTATCGGTTCTTAGCGTCCAATGGGCCACATACGTGCTCTATACTCCTTCAGACATGCCTAAAAAACCAATAACCAGTGGACTGTCGACATATTTTGATCTTAACACTCGTATTGTATTGCTTACCCTATCTACTAGACAAATGTTAATAATGATGAGTGTAATTAGTGAAGTCGAAAGTAAACGCCTGATCACAGAAAATTTATGCATCAACTCCAATCAGTGTATCGGTACATCTTTAGATGATTTTATTTACCTCACTGTATTTATACGTCAGTGGTTCACTGATAGAATGCTCAGCAGTGATGCGGGAGGTGCAGATTCGATTTCTGACCGATATGCTCTTAACCCCTGCTGGTAGTAAGCCCTGAAGACGGGGAAAGTTGAACATGAGACTAGCATCTTAAACTCATAAGACAACTCCATGGTTACTGAAACTTCAAAGCCTAAAGCTTGAAGCCATATTTTCCACCTGTAATCCAAGAAAGTCAAAAAAAGTATCAGTTTGTGAAACTATTGAAATACAGGACTTCAACAGCACATCTCTATTTCATCCTGTTCTCTGAAGTCCTCTTCAGCTGACTCCACGATTGTCTATAGTCTGTCTTCTCCTTCTCACACGATCTCTCCCGCGTCACCCTAGGATGCCCAATTAGTCGTCTCCCACTCGGGTTCCCCTCGAGAGCTGCCCTGGTATGTGATATCACTCAATGGTCTCTTTAGTGTGTGTCCGATCCCTCTCTATTTTCTTCTGCACATTTGTTGGGCAATAGACTCTGGCTGGTTCTCTGTACTCAGAATTTATCTGTCCTAATTTTCTTCGATCTTCTCTAGTTCTTACATATCTTGCTGATATCAGGGGAATTTTTCTTCAGCTTGCTACATGAGGAAGATACGTGTTTCTAAGATAGGGGGAAGTAACCCCTATTTCCCTGTTAGTCTGTCAGTTATTCTCCCTCAATTTCTTCTTACACTGATGAGAATATTTGAAATTTGCAATATTCATGTCTGCTTGTCAAGATTCCTTAACATTACTGATTAAGTGCTTTGTTTATAGTCTTAATCCGTAGATAACAACCTCTTGTGTTCAATATTTTGCACTTGTGATTATCAAATGAAATCAAGTCTGATTTAAATTATATATATAAATAAATATATATATATATAATGAATGCACTTCAAACAAAATCTAAGAATTTATTCAAAATTTAGAACAGTTACCTTTGTAAGGATGTGTTTACTCTTCTTAAAACCTTATTTCATTAAGTAGACTTCTTGGTGCAAATGCCACCGACTAGTATGAGTAATTTAAAGCCATTCAAGTCAGACATTAGCGATTTCTAGTCATATCGAAGTGGTCTTAACACCATCATCAGCTGTTTACACAGACTGACTTAGCTTAAAGAGAGGAGTCCCCCGCCTGCCGATTATTATTATTGTTTCCTTGAATTCCTAGAGGAACATAGGGCTTCAGCCGCACGTCTCCATTCCGTTCGATTCTCCGCCAACGTTTTCACCTGGCTCCATGTCTGCCCACATGCTTTCATCTCCTCTTCACATGACCTCCTCCATGTCACCCTCGCACTGACGACCAACTCGCCGCTTCCCATTCAGGTTCCACTCGAGCGGTGGCCTGGAGTGTGGTGATGTCACTCACTTGATGGTTTGTTTTCTCAGAGTATGGCCAATCCACCTCCATTTCTTCCTGCTTATTTTGTTGCACAATTGGTTCCAGAGATCCTTGTTGCTGATCTTTTCTGGCCGGCCATCTGATCTTGAGTAGTACTGAGCGAAGACAGTTGTTGATGAAGGTCTGTAGTTTGTTCGAAGTGGCATTCGTGACGCGGCGACAAGTCTCTGATCCGTATAGTAATACACTGACTTCACATTGGAGTTGAAAATCCACATCTTATTTTCATTTTCATGCTGAGTGCTGTTGATCTCCACACAGACTTGAGAGTAATGAAAGCTTGCCCTGATTTCCCGATCCTCACTGCTTTGATATCCTCGTCAGTTCCGTCCGCCTGTAGTTGAAACGATGCTTCCCAGGTAGGTAGGTAGGGGTGAAGGAGGTTGCTTCTTTCAGATTTCTCCCATTTATGCTGACTGTTGTCTGTTGTTGTTGTGTTGTTTTCTGTTGCTGTTGGCCAGGGATCCTCATCACCTACTGTTTTCTCTATGTTCACCTGAAGTCCTATCTTCTCTGGATGCTTCTTCTGCCAACTTGTTGCTCTCCACTTGCATATCTTCCAGTTTGTGGGAAATCAGACATATATCATCGGCGAAGTCCAGATCCATTTTATGCCTGTCTCCTCGCTGCCCACTAACTGTCTGTCGCATTATCCAGTCTACCACCCACAATCAGGAAAATCATTGGAGATAGTAGGCAGACAGCCAGCCAGCCTTGTCTTACTCCCGTCTTCACTTCGCGGATTCCGTGAGTTTCCCATTGTGAATTACTTGGCACGCAGCATTATCGAACAACTGTTGGATGAGATGTATAATTGTTGCCTGCCGATTAGATTAATTCAATATGATTATCAGGTATCCCTCTTAGACATGACTTGGTTTTGAACTACTCATATCAACCAATCAGTAGTAGACATCACCATTATAATTTACTTGCTTTCTCGATTACTATTTAAGGTGCCAAGCAGATCGCTTATTGTCGTCTGTATAATTTTGGTTTTCAAAGCAAACTGTGATGAATACTCACCTCGAATTACGCCAAAACTGTCATTTATCACAAGATGTGTAACACTTCATATAACCAACTTAATTGTCAGTAGTGCTTTCAAGTTTTCAATGAAAACTCAAGAAATCTATCTTTAAGTTAGTTATAAATTATACCAGAGTTGATATTTGTCTGCAGTCTTTATTAAAAATGGATAATCCACAAACTGCAAGCAAAACGACTATTTGACATCCCTTGATTTTCAGTACTTCAGTAGTTAAAATCGATCACTGATAAAAACCACTTTTGAGAGGAAACTCCTTATGTAGTAAAAGTTTTCTAATCTTTTACTTTTTGTTTTTATTTGATTTTTTAGATTAGTTTTATTCAAGTTTAGTTTCCTTTTATTTCATCGCTATTAATGAGCCTATGAGAGTCTTATTTCGAAGAAGACTAGCTCCGTTAGTCACAGTGTCTCAGTCAAACAATGGTGGCATTACAGAGTCGTGTAATGCAACAAAAGTTAACTATGAAAATTATGACTACTGGACACTACAACAGACAGATTCAACTGAGCCGAAGTGTACTTCAGGTAAGTATGAGTTGTAATTTATGTCCATTAATTACTTCACTTCACCTCTCTATCTCAACTTCATCGACTTTGAAAAGTCCTTCGACAGCGTCGATCGAGAGATGCTTTGGCAACTACTTCGCTACTACGGGGTGCCACCGACAATTATACATCTCATCCAACAGCTGTACGACAATGCTGAATGTCAAGTAATCCACAAAGGGAAACTCATGGAATCCTTCGAAGTGAGGACAGGAGTAAGACAAGCTGGCTGGCTGCCTACTATCGCCAATGATTTTCCTGATTGCAGTAGATTGGATAATGCGACAAACAGCAGGCAATGAGGAAACAGGCATAAAATGGACTCACACAAAGAACTTGGAGGATCTGGACTTCGCCGATGATATATGTCTGATTTCACACAAACTGGAAGATATGCAAGCGAAAATCAACAAGTTGTCAGAAGAAGCATCAAAGATAGGACTTCAGGTGAACATAGAGAAAACAGAGGTGATGAGGATTCCTGGTCAACAGCAACAACAACAGAAACGGTCAGCATAAATGGGAGGAACCTGAAAGAAACAACCTCTTTTACCTACCTGGGAAGCATCGTTTCAACTACAGGTGGACGGAACTGATGAGGATATCAAAGCAAGGATCGGAAAAGCAAGACAAGCTTTCACTACTCTCAAGTCTGTGTAGAGGTCAACAACACTCAGCATCAAAAATAAGATCCGGACTTTCAACTCCAATGTGAATTCAGTGCTACTTACTATACGGATCAGAGACTTGACCAGTGCGTCATAAAGAGCATCTCAAACAAACTACACACCTTCATCAACAGCTGTCTTCGCTCAATACTCAAGATCAGATGGCCGAGCAGAAAAGATCAGCAACAGAGAGGGATCTCTGGGAGCGAACCAACCAGGAACCGATTGTAAAACAAATAGGCAGGAAGAAATGGAGATGGAATGGCCATACTCTGAGGAAACCATCAAGTGACATCACTAGACAAGCCGTTGCTCGAGTGGAACCCGAAAGGGAAGCGGCGAGTTGGTCGTCAGTGCGAGGGTGGGTGACTTGGAGGAAGTCATGTGAAGAGGAGGTGAAAACGTGTGTGTGTGCCAGGTGAAAAGGTTCGCAGAGAACCGAACGCAATGGAGACGGAAGGCTGAAGCCCTGTGTTTCTCTAGGAATTAAAGGAAACGATAATAATAATAAATACTTCACTTCAACATGAATCCAATCTCCCCTTTGCTGACATGTTTTGTTTTGAAAATTTTCTATTTACTTTTGTGGTGGTAGCTAACAGTCAAATGACGGACTGGAGTACCGTCCCATTTAGGACTGATTAGTTAAGAGATGTAGAATAATATACATGTTTCATATGTGGGACGGTTGGAAAGTCTCAAGTGACGATCCGAGTTTGCCGAGAGAGTTTAAAATGTTGTTACAAACCTAAGTAATACAAACTTTGGCGCGTCTTTTTGCTCAATATTATCTGTTAGGAATCAGTAGACAGAAAGCCATGAACTTAGATTTCATTTTGTCCTTCATTCATCAGCAATGTGCAAGACATTCCAGATCGTTGTAGTGTCAATTAGTTTACTGGTGATACATTCCACACAACCCTGTCAACATACGTAACTAAATAGGTAAATTTATTTCCGTCTAGAAATAGGCTAATGTACAACGTCATTTATCAATGTATTGTTCCTAAATCTTTCCCAACTTTTTGAAACTTAGGTAACCAACCCTTCAATGCAAGTAATAGTTTACTATCTCAAACGCTGACAGAAACAGCTAATCCAAACGATGAATTAGCGAATATGAAATGTTGTACCATTGAGACAACTGAAGACTGTGCACAGATGGATGAATTAAAGCCCTGTGAAGTAGAAGATAAATCAAATTCTCTTGATAATGAATCATTAGAGACAACATCAACAACAACGACAACAACTACAACCGCTGAAACAACAGACTGCTCTAATCCTGAACAATTACAAATACCTGGAAATGATGAATCCCATCATACAGACAATCATAACAATACAATGTCTAAAAGCAATGAACTTAATAAAACAGGAATAACACAAAGAAAAATTTCAAAATCATCGTCTTTTTCTGTTACAACAAATGTTATTAGCCAACGTAAATCAATACAACAGTGTAAAACTGAACGTTATCGTAGCGTTATAGAATCACTTACAGGTGTTGGTAAAGCCACTCAGCTGTCATTGGAACGTTTAAAAGCAGCTAGAGATGAAGTGGATGAAGCGATAAAAGTTAGTAAGAGTGTAACACTGTTTTTTTTACATATTTTCTATGGTTGGTATGTAAGGATTAGTTTTGTTTTTACGAGTTGATCACGGATTGACATCAGTTAGAGACCCATTGAAAACTAAGGAGTTCTGGACAGCTGTTTCATCCTGGTTTGGGAATCATCGGCAGTACGCAGCCACTGGAGCACGAACTCAAGACCTTCCGGTTACAAGCAAGCTCGTATATCATTCAGCCACTGGGACTCGATTCAATGGCAAGCGTGATCTAGGGCGACCACTAACCAATGTCATCGGTGGGAAATCCATCCTCACACTTGACTGGATGGACCTCACTGGTCACGACTTATTACTAGAAGTCCAGGAAACTCGGTCCTGTAGCAAGCCGCTAACGAGCATCAGATTAATTTTCTGTAGTTGGTTTGTCAAGATTAGTTTTATTTTTACGAGTTGATTACGGATTGATATCAGTTTAAAATAAGAAAAAAAATGCGGTTCTAATCACTTAATGATAAGTTACTATTGACTGTTATATTTAACCAACATGGCTTTGGTCACATATTGATGGGAGTTAAAATTCATCGGCAGTCAGATCCCGTTCCAATGACATGATGGTAACGTGCTCACCTCTCAATCTAAAGGTTCTAGATTCGATCCTTAATTCGGTCATGAGTGCGTACTTATTTGAGGACGAAACAACTGTCTCATTGTCCTTAGTTTTCAGTGGTTCTCTAACTGATGTCAGTTTGTGAGGAAGTTTGGTGTGAAATAAACAAAGTTATCCATAGTAATATATGAATGAATGGAGTCAGTAATAAATCCCGTTTGATTTTTGTAGGCGTACAAAGAAATGAACAAAAAGTTAACAAGTTGATATAAGTATAAAACTTGGGCACTGTGGTAGGGCATAACTCCATTATGGATAAGATTTTATTTTCATAAATCACACAGTGTTATACAGTAATATTAACTGATGACCACGTTTCGAGCACAAACTATTACTCATAATCATATCAAGTCACTACTCACACAACTTTTTCCTTCATTTATATACATGAGTGAAATTGATGATTAGACATTTGAATAAAAATCAGTATAAGATAATGTACATTGAGAAATCATAATATTAATATTATCAGTCAAATACAATCAGATGGGAAATAAGACGAATGTTTTTATAGTCATAATAAGTAACTTGTTAGAATGTTATGATGTACGTGAATTGAAATAGAATTTTAAGATTATTTATTATCCTCCTCTGATTTGACTGACTGGTGGTAATAATATCTTCCATATCTCTGGTATTTACATTGAGTCACTTCTATTGCATGTGTTGAGTTGGGTGTAGACTCGACGAACCAGGCAGGATTCAGTAATCAATCTCTTTCTCAATCCACCTAAATTACTTTTTAGAATTTTAACTCTGTCCCACCCAGTCCATTGTGTGGTTGTGTGTTAATGCATGCAGTGCAATTGCTGAGTTCTTCGTGGGATCAATCATTCTAACATTGGCTTAATTTTTATGTTCTGACCTATGTAGTTGACTTAACTGACAGTCATTGCAAGGTATTTTGTAAATTATATTATTTTGTTTCATTGCGTCAACCTACATGGTTCTTTAACCTACAGAGCTTGTCCCTGAGTGAGTTTGTAGGTTAGAATGCCACCCTAATTCCTGCTTTATTAAGAATCCTACGTAGGGTCTCAGATGTCCCCTCCTTATATGGTATAACTGTAGATGCCTTATATTCTCTCTTATTTATGTTATCATTATTAGTTTCACCATTATTTTTATTTTGCTTTTGACCTTTTCTGATCTTCCTAATGAATTTTATAGGATAGTTATTTGATACCAACGCTTCTTCTATCTGTTTTATTTCATCATTTAGGTCTTTTCTTGTATTACTTAGTGCTACTGGTCGGTTTGTTAGACACTTAACTAAGCCTACTCTCACAGACAACGGATGAGGTGATGAATTAAAGTCTAAATATCTATTAGAATGCGTTGGCTTTTTATAAACGCTAGTGTGCAGTTTGCCTTCTTCTATTCGTTTTATTTTACAATCTAACATAGCTAATTCTCCTTGTTCATTTTCTGATTCAAATGTGAATTTTATTCCCTCTACTAGTGAGTTTATATGTGTCAAGAAGCTAGAGATATGTTCTGTTTTTAACACTGTGAAAGTGTCATCCACATATCTCCACAATATTTTTGGAGTAGGATTAAAGTGTGTTAAGAGCAATATTTTCCCAGCTGTCCATAAAGATATCTGCTACGATAGGAGATATTGGTGATCCATCCCATTGCTACACCTTCTGTTTGTCTATATATTTTGCCTTGGAATTTAAAGATAGTAGATGTGAGGCATAACTGAATCAAAATAAAATCTTATCCATAATGGAGTTAACAAGTTGATCAGAAACTTTTGACACGAAACGACATGGGTAAGGAGTGATGAAAATAATTAGATAAGCTACAGTGGTTAAATGTCAAGAGGATTGATTATTTATAAGATAATTAGATGATAAATTAAACGAAAAGTACAACAATGTTGTTTCCTTTACATAATTCTCCTTCAATGATATCTCATTACAGAAACATTTTCATATAACAGTTGTAAATGCTGATTAAAATCTAATCAAGAAACAAGCTGAAGTGACTCACCACCTGTTAAGCATGAATGACAATTTCTAACGCATCTAGGAACAATTATACTTTTAATGTCACTTAAGTTTCCTAGAGTCACCCTTTCACTTTTTAAGATCGGATTCATTTTGATAGTGTTATGTTGGTGATAATGTTATAATAGTGCTGATTCGTGATTTTAGGAGCACCACCAGCTAATGTCACCAGCGATTATCTGTCTTCCCTCCCGACAGGGTGAACCCCACTGGTCGTGACTTTCCACTAGAACTCCAGATAGCTTTGTGATGTAGCCAGTCACTGGCGAGCATCAGATTAATCTTCAAGAGTTAGAGAACCGTTGGAAACCAGGGAGTACTGGACAGCTGTCTCATCCTAGTTTTGGACTCATCATCGATATGCATCCGTCGGGGTTTGAACCAAGAACCCTTCGATTACAAGACAAGCTCGCTGACCAATCAACCACTGGGACGGAATCCAATGGCCGGCCTATAAATTCTAACCTCTATCACTTCGTGATTTTAGCGCGACCACCAGCCAATGTAATCGGAGAGTATTTGTCCATTCTGGAAAGAACAAATCGATCTTTGTTACACAAAAGGTTATTAATTGCAAATATGACGAACCTTAGAAAGTCAGGCTGACAAATGAGCCACTATACTGGTTACATAAGGTAGGGCTACTAGGTTATCCAGTCTAATTCTAATAAATATTCTGCCTTGGCCCAATGGTTAGATTTGTCCAGACTGTTTGGATCTGTTTTAGATTGTATTGGCCTGTTTCAGCTGGTCTTAGCCACTTCTTTTGAGACAGTAAAAAATAGAGTTCTTTGCCTTCATTATTCCACGGTTAACTTCAAAATGCTACCGACCTCAGTTTAGAAAAGCAACTTAAATATGTTGAAATAATAGAGAAGATTTGTAGCTCAGGTGGATGATTTGCAATTAATTTCTCATGAAGAAATTTAAATCATTCCACTTTGTGCTAAATATAGCGCTGAAGATGTTGTCCAGAAGGACGATGAAAGCTTCGCAACCAAACCAACCAGCTCAGAGAACACTATTAATTGCAAAACTTAAGTATGTCAAAGAAATACTATGGAGTCAGCCGTTTTCGCTCCTAAGAATTAGTTTTCTTTTGCTTCCCTCGCATGGAGAAAGTAGTAAAACTTCAGAGTAACACAGCATAACCATAGTATATTATAATGCTACTCACCTCACAAATAATAGGGGGGTTATCAGTGCATTCCCTATCACACCAGTAACTGATTCCAATAGGAAATTCTAAAAGCGGTAACACTACCACTTGTTCCTATTGAAGGAAAACACGGTGAAATAAAATCTTTGGTGCTCCGGTTAGTCAGAAATTTGTTACTTTTCAGACATACGTAACTTATACTCGCTTTTCTCCTTATTCTTAATGCAAATGTCATTACTTAAGAAGATCACTAATCGCGATAGTACTCAAACCTGTTAGATTTTAAGTAGTATATATACACATATACATATATACATAAATTATTTACTGTTATTCCTCTTTAATAAAAACAGAATCGAAAAATATTTTCAGTACTTGGTCCATATAATCCTATAAGACAAGCATTGAGGACACGTGGTTGGGTTGAAAAATTCGATACTAATAATGGATCCACAGGGCAAAATGCACAGGAGACGAGTAAATCAGTGCGATCTGTCAATGATAATAAAACTTCACGAAGTTGTAATTCTTTACAAAATGACACAACAATGGAGGACTCTGAAGACGGTGATTCAGACGACGATGTAACTGCAGCAAATGAAGGTAGGCATATTTTTTTTTATCAATAATGTATGCATGAATCCGATGCGGCTTTTTTAATTGGATGGAGGATTTCATCATGAGCTGACATCAGTTAGAGAACCACTGGAAAACCTGGGAGTGCTGTCAGACAGCTGTTTCGTCCTAGTTTAGGATTCTTCATTAGTACGCATCCACCGCCAGGATTCGAACCCAGGACCTTCCGGTTACAAGGCGAGCTCGTAGACCATTAAGCCCCTGGGACCCGATCCAATGACCCATGAATTCTAACTTCTGTCAATTCATGACATAGCACGACCATTTCGCAATGTCTTCTTCTATGAGTTACTGCCTCATCTTCAACCTGCGTGCTAATGAAGAGTCTCAAACCGAGCCGAAACGGCTTTCCATTACTCCCAGGTTTTCCAGTGGTTCACTAACTGATGTCAGCTCATGACGAAATCTTCCATCCAGTCAAACAAAATCCTACTTGTCACCATAACGCGTTGAATGTATAGTTCACTTATTCAGTTAACTACAAAGATAAATGCCACACCGTACTATACATTTGTGTTTCTTTTTGTGTATCGTGCAACAGTTCACTCATTCTTTTCTTACGGTTGTTCTCAATGGCCGCTGTGAGTGAAAGATATAAAGAGATTAGTCACTTCTGGCAGTAGGTGTCTGCCTTCCATCTTTGGTGTTAGGTGGCATAATATCGTCAGCAATAATGAAGTTAGGCTTAGAGCATTAGCTAAAAAGGGGAAGTCAACTGCTGAGGTTGTGAAACGGTATTGACTGGGACTGCTAGGATAGTCGCTACGTATACCAAGCTTTTAACTTCCCTATCGAGAAATTTTATCTAGTATAGTATTGGAAAACAGTTAGACATAGTCAGATCTAAAACAATAGCATCCTTCCCTGAAGGTTTTGATTTTTGGTTTGAGCCAAATAAAGGGATACGGATTATCTGACTAGAGTCCTCGAGGTGTGGAGGATCAGCGTTTGTTGACATTTGGTGATATGTCTTAAAATCATTCTCAGTAGAACAGAAGAATTCACTCTTTGTGATCTCCAAGATCCATTAAGTTCCTACTACTCTTTACCTAATAATTCATTCACCCATAAGTAACCATTTATCACAGATTCATTGTATTTCTATTTCTCCTATTCCTATACGCACTTAAGAGGTTCGGCAACTTGAACTGCTGCAATTTTGTGCAAAGTTCTACCATGAAAATTCATTTCAGTTCACTTTGTGCTTCTTACACTGATTTTGTAGATGAAACTTCCCTTTGGAGCTTTTCTGTTTGAAATGTTGCGTGTATAACGTGATACTACTGATAGCATTTCAAATGCATTCTCAGTTTGAAAATAGGACTGATTAATCTAGGATATGTATTTCACCAGAGACAGTGGTTTTAATTCCTTTTGCTTCCAGTGAGGAACTGGGCTTCAAGCTTGAGCACTGGAGTTCCGGTAGCGATGATGCATTTTGTGCCTGACTTAATACCGGATAGGGGATGTCTGGGAGTGCGTTGCAACCGCGGGGAGTGGGGATTGAATATGGCCCAGACTACATGCACGGTTGGCGAGCATGCTGCCGCTGAACCACCGACGCACATTATTATATTTGTGGGCTACTTCAAATGTACATTTAACTTTTTAGTTCAATGGTTAAGTTTTCGCAAAGCTTTCATATTTGATTGTAAGGGTTTCGTCATCAGACTGGGTAGCATGTTCAGTATTTAGGATATAGAGAAGTGAGTTCGCCTTCTGCTCTGCACTAGCTAATGAATACATGACTGCATTGACCATAGTAAAGGAGAAATCGAATCAAATGTGAATATAACTGCATTGGGATCACCTAGATACGAAATATAAGCTTGTTTGTTATCTGAATAAATTACCTAGTGACATTTACATTAAGGTTGAAGAGGGGACTAAGAACACCATAGCCCTTCAATTACAATAGAGTGATATGTATAACAACCACCTATCTCGGTATTTTGGTGCTACCAAGCACAACAGTGAGAAGGAATTTTTCGTTAAGCGGTTGGACTCAGCAATTAATGCTAGACACTTGACTGTTGATTTGAAATGTCTAGACAAACAAATATTTATGCGTGTGACCTTATAAATGAGCTATATTTCTGTTTGCCATTAAAGCATATGGACTACTTTACTCGTTTACCAAGTGTAAATTTCATAGGCTGGAAACCAAGCAATGAAATACACTCAATTCGTCGTATATATATATATATAGTTCAAAGTTTACTGAAATCTTCAAAGTAATCTTAAGGAGTCTCTATAAGAAATCAAAAGGTAGCATACATGAGTCACCCTATTTCGTCCCAGTGATTGAATAGTCAGCGAGCCTATCTTATATCCTAAAGGTTCTCGGTACGCTACCTGGTGGGGTCATGGGTGCATAATTCTGAATACTTCCAAAAAGGACTAGACAGCTGTCTAGTACACCTTGGTTTTCAATTGTTCTCTAACTGAAGTCAGTTTGTGATCAATCTTGAGGTCATAGAAGTTTAATATCTATTATTAACCCCTTCAACAAATATTCAATAAAATAAAATAAAAACTGTTTATTTTTTCATTCTTGACAAGTAAATTTTGTGGCCTGAATGTTTTAAAAATTTTAAAGGAATTCACAAGAATGATTACTGAACAAAGAGTATTCTTTTCGATAACTCTTCATCATCAGGTTCTACAGTTATATACACATAATAGTAAATGAATTAGTGTTATTAACAAAATTATTGTTTAAATAACATCATGTGCGTCTGTTGTACAGCGATTAGGACGCTCACCGACCATGCACATGGTCCGGGGTTCGATCCCCTGCCGACGCACACCTGATATCACTGGTTGGCCTGCAAAATTTGGGCTACCGAAATCACATGCTGAAAATTCTATAGTTGTACCAAAATACTGTGTGGATTCAAGCTATAATAAATAAAAAATGATAATAAATAATAATATCAATGGATCACAGTTCGATAGCATCAACATAACACTGCACACTGAATATCAGAAAAACTAGGAAAGAAAATAAGACAAATCCGTTAATTTATTGTCTCCACCGAAAGCCAGGATGATAGTAATGGCTTTACTTACTTCTTTTGTACACAAAGCACTGGCTGTTTCAAGCCAATGGCGATAAACTCTGCTGTTTGAAGTATGTGGTACCTGGATGTTTTTGGCAATTTATTCGGTACCCGGTAGATGACAGAGAAGGACTCGTCAGTGCTGGCCTTGTGGCCGGTTTGAACCAGGCGGCCTATATCGAACTGTTGATGGTGTTTACTACACCTTTACTTAACCACACTGGTAGATTTTCCCGAGCGAGCACGAAACATCAAGTTGCTAGAGCAACAGCCAATATAACTCTCTCCACCACAAGCGCAGTTGAATTGGTAGATACGATTAGAAGTGGTTAGTCTAGGTACTTCATCTTTCAATCGAGGAATCACTACTAGTCGCGTAGAAAATATGACTTGTAGTTTACCAGCATTAGAAGTTCTCTGAATAGATTTTCTTAACTTGTTAGTAATTATTTCACAAGGTGCATCATTCTTGAACTGCAGTCGTATATATGAAGGCTTCTTATATACAGATGAAGTGTACTTCGCTAGCAAGCGGTTTCACTATATGTTTGTTATCCTTTTAACTCAGACTACAGAGAAATTCCTCTGTATTAATGCTTGGGTAATCTATGCATGTGATGTAGATTCGATTTTCTGGGGAAGCACTCTTAAACCTCACTCAACCAGTAGTAAGCTAGGTATTGAGGGAAGGCTAGACGTGAGACTAGCAACTCCAAAGCTGAAGCTTCAGCCCAGTGTTCCACTTGGAACCCAAAAGAATGGGGAAAAATGATTAGACTATTGCCTCACTATATGTGCACTTCAAAAATCAACACTTTCTGAATTGATAATTGATTAAACAAAGCAGGAAAAGTTAATAAAGCTATATTTAATGAATTCATCAAATTTTAGTAGAACTCTTCAGCTGAATGCTCTACATACAATGATATATAAATATATACCTCTAGAGTTATATTGGGAAATACGTGACTGACAAGTAAATAAACGACATTGAATAAATCATACAAAACGACAGGTGTGAATGTTTTTCAGGTCATGTTCAGATAGACAAGGGTAAGGCAGTACGAGAAGTTAAACTTAAGATAATAATGCACCACGGTTCAGCTACATCGCTTCAATAAACAATGGATTATAACAGAAAGAACTTGAATATATCAAGAATTGCATGCTGGATCACAGGGATAATAACAGTAATACTAAAAACGAGTTAAGATAATGGCACTGACTAACGATTGTTTTAAATGAATCAAGAATAATAATAATAAGACATAGAATAAAAATATTGACCATAATAATAACTATTAATAAGGAAAACATATTACCATGGTAGGTTCACAGTGACCTCTATTTACTTCTGTAAACACAGACTGGATTTATAAACTGTGATTTCGTAGACCTCCGCACCATCCTTTTTGTTTGCTTACTGACAAATATGAATGACTTGTTAGCGTTAGTATCATGTCCATAGTCTATAAGATGCTTTGTAACTGAACCATCTGGTACTTTGACTTCAGCTGCTGTCAACCGCTTGGGCGAATATATATATATATATATTGATTTGATACTAGTAACTAGTGTAAAATCAAAATATCCACTAAGTCCTACAGGAGGTCAATCGCGAGCCCGACTAGCTCACTGGTAACGTCTCTGACTGCAGCACTGGGTGACGCGGGTTCGAATCTCAGAAGGGACATGAGTTCCTTCGAGGTTGCAGATACGCCTTGCTGACTGATGAGTGCCAACTAGCACGAAACCTAGGTCCAAAGCTTCCTGCCGATTGCCTCCAACCATCTAATATATATATATATACCACTGTGTGTAGAGCACTCAGTCGAAGAGTTCGATAGAAATTCGACGAATTCATTCAATCCTGCTTTACTAACGTTTTTTGTTTGTTTTAAATTCGAATTGAGAAATAAATAATAAACTTGATAATATTAATACTCTATACAAAATAGTTTTTGAAACCATTTAAAACAGTTTTTTTTAAATTTCTTCAGAAAAGCAACGCGTTCAACCATGGGAGGAAGATGATGGATACTATGGGATAATGGTTAGTCTGTTGGTGATACACTTGAAGGAACAAAAGTTTTTTGTCGACAATTTTCTTATATTTTTAGATTCTACCACGATTCTTAATTATGTTTGCTCTAAAATAATGTCACATAGTAGGCCAGTGGATTTCGCCAGTTAATCTGACCACATATATTGATTAAATTCCATCGATTGATTATGTACTGTGATCAGAAGGCGAAGTAATAATGTAGGATTTAGTGGGGAGAATTCCTTGGTGTGCTCGAGTTTTGTAACTCATGGTGCCTGTCAATATCGTGTGTCTAGTGGCCTAGATGAAACTCGTCTGTTAGTCTCTGTCATCAGTACGGATAACTGAGTATTGACTTTCTGATGAGCTTCAGCCTACATAAAATCCCCGTCAAATAGAGCTCATTGCCAGTCAACGTATGAGATCTAACTTTAGACATTCAATGAATAATAATAAATAGATTAAAAAGGATAGTCATGATTTTGTTAACTTACACGAGAAGATACATTTCTGTAAGTAAGGTAGCATAAGTTAAGTAGCAACATTCATCCAGCTAGCACAAAACATCAAATCTTGGTAAAGTAAGTCTACCTTAACCTACATTAATCAAGTATAACTATGATTACAAAGCTGACTCACTGAGTACTTATTTGCGGAGAATTTCTTCTACGGTTTCCATACGCAACAAAGCCACAGAAAGTACCAATTTCTGTCCTGGAAACAGTCTTTTCTTTTATATACAAACCCCTGTGGTTGTATATAAAGCAATACTGACATGAAGTTTTGTGTGTGTGTGCAATGAAATCCATTCAAGATATGACCCCTAAGATGCTATAACTTTTTGTTTTACTTCAGAGATTTTAATCAGATTGAAGCTCCAAATGAAGAGTTGTGTAGTTAGTGAATTCACTTTCCCAATTACTTACCCAAAACCAGAACTTTAATAGAACCTACTTAGTTACACTGCAGCTATCTTGAAGTTATTAACAAGTATCGCGGACCAGTTCATGTCTCCGGTAACTTGTTTCGTTTGTCTTACACAGAAATACCTGCCGAGAGTTTTCACCGAGAAGACTTACTTATTACTGATAAAATTTTTTTAATTTGAATGATTCGAAATCGCTACATTACTATACATACTACACACGTTCATCTTACTTGTTGCGTCAGTCTTATTTAGTGCGTAATGAAATGCAACCGTCCAAAGGGATTTCGGTTAGTAATATCACAAAGCTGAGCTTACCTGCTTATGCGTAAATTCATTTTCTGAGATTAGTGGCAACAGAAAATCCATAGATATCCAAGTGACTGAATATATCGTGGTCATCACAAGCTTTGACAATTTTGGTTGTCATGCCTAGAGTTTTAGTGGGTTATTACCGATCAAGGTCACATATCTTAAGCATAGTATCTTACATATGCTTCTTAGTTTTCAATGGCTCTATGTATGACGAAAGCTTATGACGAAACTCATTTTTGAATATATTCAGAAAAAAATATTTGAGCTCAATTTTAGAGTTTTCATGATACTGTATTGGTAGTTTACCCTACTCACCTTACTGGGAATAGATCACGATTTGTTTCTAGTTAGGTTTCGTCACGTGCAGACGTCAGTCCAATAAAAAAACCCAATGAGTATTGGACAACCTCTGTTAAATCTCATCAGCGGGAGAGATTTAACAGAGGTTACCTCCTTCACTTATCTAGGAAGCATCGTTTCAACTACAGGCAGTCGGAACCGATGAAGATGTCAAAGTCAGACAGGATGGATCGTAAAGGCAAGATACGCATTCATCAACCTGAAACCAGTTTGCAAATCTTCTGCACTACACCTCCGCATAAAGAACAAGATTCGGATTTGCAACACAAATGTCAAGTCAGTTAGTTCTTCTATACGGGTCAGAAACTTGCACTGCGTGTGACGAAAGAGATTTCCAACAGGCCACTGCAGACTTTCATCAACAGCTGCCCCCTTCGCTGGCTCTACGCTGAAGATCAAATGGCAGGTCAGCGAGAAAAAACTCTGTTTGGGAACAAATCAACGATGAGCCTATTGCTCAACAAATATGTAGGAGAAAATGGAGATGGATCAGACATACATTGAAGAGGCCTTCGAATGACATCGCGTGCAATGCAGGCCATTGCTCGAGTGAAATCCGAATGGGAAGCGACGAGTGGGACATCGGTGAGAGGGTGACATGGGGGAGATCGTGTAGCGAGGAGGAGGAGGAGATGAGAGATTATGGGCAATCGTCGGGTAGGCTGAAGAGGACTGCAGAAGATAGGACAAAGTGGAGGCGTGTTATTGAAGCCCTATGTTCCACTCGGAACCCAAGGGAATAATAATAAAAATAATAATTGGACAACTGTTTCTTCGTAATTCTAAACCTACCAACCAGTTTCCAAAGCTGCCTATTCTTATGTAATTCTTTAACTGGTGCATACTTATGGTGAAATCTATCATACGCCTGTCGTCTTCTCAAAATAAAAAAACACAAACAATTTAATGAAATTTGATGTTCATAAAGTTCAGGTGATATTTTCAGTGCAGACTAGCTATTTTCTACATATATATAAAGAAAATAATAAAAATGAATATAGTTTTAGATATTTAAATTTTATTTCATCTCACTTCAGCTCACTCGGCGCAAATATAGTGGAATGTTTCAGTAATTGGGTTATTAAATCAAACAGTTTAAAAGGAGGAGTTAAACGTATAGTAGAGGCATTCTTACTCAGGAATTTGAGAGAACAAAGAAAGATGAATGGTGGTGACGATACAACTAAGAAAGAATTAAAAACTCCCATAGTACTACCATATAAACAGACTGCATTAGGAATTCTACTTAAGATTCTTAACAGAGCTACAGCTTAGACCCAGAAATTCATTCGAAAATAAGAATTTACTAAAGTTTATAATGAAAAACGTTGTGAAGACTAACAACAGAGTGAAAACACAGTTATTCTTATGCATGATATAACACAGTCACACAGTACCGTGAAACACAGCTACAGCAATGAATGCCGAAATAATCAGGTGGAGAGAGAAAGAGACACCGATGACAAAGCTTTTATAGAAATAACACTATGCTAATAAATTCTTCTATTTTATTTTATTTTTATTTTTTACTTTTGATTACAGCTTGATTCCACACCGTATTTTTGGTACAGGTATGGAATTTTCAGCATGGATATCGGTAGCCCAAATTTTGCAGGCCGACCATAGATATCGGGTGTGCGTCGGCAGGGGATCGAACTCTGGACCATGTGCATGGTCGGCGAGAGTCCTAACCACTGTGCCACCAACGCACATTCTTTTAGCCATTTTAATATATTGTCTATTAAGTCACTTGGGATAACCTTAAGGTGGGAGATTTGTTCATTGTAGGCAAATGAAGATTTGATTTTAATTGGTGGATGGTGACTAGCAGTGGAATCCAGGATGCACATTTCGTCCTATTTGGGACTCGTCATCTGGATGTACCTGCATTCCCCAGTGAGTGATGATGTTCCCACCGAGGCTCGAACACAGTGCCCATAGTTTCCACTGCTAGTCACCATCCACCAATTAAATTCTAATTACATGCCCAGACATCGTCGAAGCATCTGCACAAGAAGCCGACATGTCAACCTGAGACCGAGCACTTCGGTCCAATCAATCGACGGGAAAATCTAAAATTCAATTAAATAAATGAAGATTTGTATCTATATAAACACGAATCTAAGTCTCAGAAAGAATCAGAATATTTGCCCACTGGCTAACAGACTAGTTTGATTCATACTTAACGTATGTCATGACAAATATCTTAGAATGATTTTGACGTTCTGTTTTCTATTTATTTCAAGTCCCGTATGGTTCGTTCTGAAATACCAAGATTTATTTGGTCATTACGTAAAAGTCAAGTGGAGTTTCGTTATCTTCAAAAGGATCAGATGATCAATCATCATAGTGGTGCACCGTTTACGACTAAGGTAATAATAATAATAATGCTTGTTCTCTTTTCAGTAGTTTTTTCTCGGTCAGATATATATTGGTACTGAAAAATAAATTGCACAATGTGCGTCGGTGGCACAGCGGTAGAAGGCTCACCAACCACTCAGATGGTTCGGGGTCCAATCCCCGGCAACCGACGCACTCCTTTACCTCGTTAAGCCGGTGGTAATAAGACTGGTAAAGAGGGAAGGTTGGGCGTGAGGCTGGCAAATAAATACCAATGCTACCGAAGCTTCAGGACTCTAGCTTGAAGCCCTATTTTCCACTGGAAACGTAAAGGAATAAAAAAATGGTTAGTCTATACTAACATAAAATTACCCCGATAAGAGGAGAACTATTCATAAAAACACAGAAATCTACCTGTTTAATGATACATGTTATGATCCAATAATCAAAAGAATGCTATAAAATTACTATGCATCCAAGCTTACATTGCTACATGAAATGGCATACTGATCATTAAACCATTTCTAGGTAAATAAGTATTTTTCAAACCATATTCAATTATCTAAAAAACGATATACGCTTTTGAGAGCAACGTCATTCAAAGAACTCAGAAAAACAGTCCCTCCCCACTGTTATATCTAAATGTATTATGAAAACGTTTTAGTTGAAGAAGTGCGAGATTCTGATCACTGTAACTACTCGATATTTGCTGTCTGTGAGATTTTCAAGCAGTCAAACTTCCACGGAATGCTAGAACTGATTAACTTCTACATGAGGAATTCTTTCCAGTAAGATCTCTGTGTACAATAAAAAATGCATGATATATCTTTGAATTCCAGTACAAAACAGGATTGAGCATTTCCGTCCAATAAAATCGATCAGAAGGAAACTCGAAATAACTTCAACAGATAATATAACTGATACCAATTGCACATTAGGTAGACCTCGTGGCCCAGTCGCTTAGTGGATAACGCTTTGGTGTTTAAAATGATGGTTGCTGAGTTCTGTTGTCAGTGGGGACACCATCACTCACTGCAAAATGTAGGTATATCCAGATGACGAGTCCCAAATAGGACGAAATGCTCACCCTGAATTCCAGTGCGTATTTGATCCTATTGATCATTTAGTTAAGTGATTCCTACCCACTGGTCTGAAAATACTTAGTCTTATGGATATCAGTTTCCTAATATTACTTACGAAGATATTTTAGTTGCTTTTTTACTTACATTCATTATCTGCTGTCCATAACCTTTCACGGGATAACAAGTAAGTCAAAAGCGACTTATTGTTGCCAACTGTAATGATTGGTCTCTCTCTCTATCTCCATACGTCTGGCTACCCCTCTCCCTCTCTCTCGTCATTTTAGATTCCATAGGGTATAAAACTTTTCAAGTTATTTTTCCAACTTTTTAATTTTTATGTATGTTATTGTAAGTTTTTATATGATGCAAAATGCAATACACTAAAGTTATGCGGGCAGTGTTGGCTAAAATGAAATAAAAGTTGGGGAATTTAAATTATAAGACCCTAAACGAATACACGTATCAGTCACCTCAAACCGACCTAGGAAGATAACACTGTGTGTGTTAAAAATGTTTAAAGAAGTGTAAGAATATTTCACAAGATACGTTTATTTAAAGTGTTGCTCAAATAACTATCAGTTCCTCATAGGAGGATAAAGAGCTACAGTTAGATTAGGGCTAGATTTAGGTTAGTTTAGGGTTAGATATGTGTTAGGATGGATTACAGTTAATTCAGAGTTAAGGCTGGGAACTGGATTAATCACAGTGTATAATTCGTCACGATTCAACACAAGCTAGAGATATTTGTTTTATATATATATTTGGTGACCACCAATATGGCTTGTCTACGCCAACAACGTATACAGCAACTGTCTCATCTCCCAGCTCGCTACTTAGCCGAGAACACAAAACGTCGTGAGACGGAAAGTATATTTATGAAAGGAAACCACTGTATATATATATATAAAGTAAGCCTAAAGAAAGTTAATTAATTTTTAGTCTGTCTACCCACCTTGCATAAATGATTGGTCACTTCTAGAAAGCTATGATCACATGTCACCTTGAAAACTCGGAAGTACTGGACATTTGTTTCATCCTAGTTTGGGACTTTTCAACAGTAGGCACCCACCAGGATTCGGACGCAGGAACCTCTGGTTACAAGGCGGACTAGCAGACTATTTAGCCACTGGGACCCTATCGAATGAACCATGAATTCCAACTTCTTATATAATGACACTTTCAATCAATCGCTTGGATGACCATCAACTTCACTTTTACGTGGTGGACCCCACTGACCATTGCTTCTCAGTACGGTTTCAAGACATCCATTCAGTATATATATCAATGAGCTAAAGACTGACATTCAGATAACGGTTGTTTTATTAGCGATTTTGATTAATTTCAAGATATGCTTCTTCACAAACCAAAGCCAGTTAGAGTTTGATCCCTGGCTGGATAGTGAGTAAGCACTGATGAAGCGTCGCAAACTAGGACAAAACAACCCTCTAGTACTCTCTGGTGTTAGTTCGTGATGAAATCTACATTGAAATTAGGAATTACTGGTTAGAGTTTAGTTTAAGCCACTTTCTGAATTGGATATTTTCCCAAAATCCTGAACAGCATTCATTATTAATGTTTAATTAGAGCTCTTTTCTTCCCACCAAATTTGCTTTTTCAAAGCGTTGGGTCAATTCAATGTTACTGGTGCTGTCATTCAGTTGGGAGCCTATTGCTTAACTTTATAAACTTATGAGAGTGATGGCAAACACCACGGCAATTTAACATAGGTTCATTAGTTATATACCCCTGATTGTGCCTAATGTTAGCCTGACATTTGCCTATAACCTCAAGATGGGTGTATTCTGCTCATGGCGCCCTTTCTAGACTCTCACTGAATGTCAACTCTTTAAAATTATCAGTGAATTCAGCATCGATAACAACTGTTTTAACTGTTATATGAGAAACTGAAAATCCTCTCATCAGTGGTCCGTATTCCCGTTTTGCTTTCGCATGTCGTCGATGGTATCGTTGTTCTTGTGGTTGCGGTTATGATTGAAGTGATAAGAGTAGTTTTCGTTAGCTTTTCATTAGGTTTCTATTTCTAGGTCGTATTGTCAGTGATATCACCAATGTAATTCACTGGGTCACCTCATCTGTACAGAGTTGTTTTTCTTTTGTGTGTGTGTAAATTTTAGTTCTCTGTAGTAAGATTGTTTACGATTCTACCATTCAACTGTTTTTATTTACTACTTCTAATAAGAAAAGAAGAAGAAGAATAACAGGACTTCTTTGTTTAAAATAGATAACGATACCTCTTTCATGTTGCAGTGTTTCTAAGAAACGAGTAACTTTTTCTTAATTCACAATATATATAAGTATAAATGACACGGTAATAGAAAGTACTTTTCTGTTGTATACTGACTATGTCACAATGATCTTTATTTCAATGTAAATAACTGAGATCACAGAGGAATAAGAGGATAGAAAAATACTTGAAAAAAGAAGATATATATATATATCTGCCACACCCATTCCTCATTATACTGATCTCAGTTTCAATAAGAGAATAAAATATATAGTACAGTTGCATATATGTTGTAGTCATGGTCGTGGTCCAACTGAGACTATTAAATCTTTCAGTTGTATCATATTTAGTATTTCATATTAAATAAAGCTTATGGCATTTATTGTAGTCAATGGTAACAGTTAAATGACAGTGAATCACACTTAAAGTTACTTGGAGGAATTCAGGACACGTGTTTCGTTTTATATGGGACTCCCTAATGAGTGATGATGTTTGTACATTGACTATGTATGATCCATCGCTTGAAAACTCGGTCAATTAACTTCAAGTCGGTAATCACAGTATTGTCGAGAGATCTGTTCAAGGAGTCTGTATGGCGAAATGACGTTAACTAACTCAGTCAATTGGTGCGTCGGTGGCACAGCGGTTAGGACGCTCGCTGACCATGCACATGGTCCGGGGTTCGATCCCCAGCCACTGACGCACTCCTCTACCTCTCTAAGCCAGAAATAATGCTGGTGAAGAGGAAAGGTTGGGCATGAGGCTAGCAACCCCATCCTGTAAAAATAATCACCACTGCTTCAGAAACTTCAAGCCTCTAGCTTGAAGCCCTATGTTCCACTGGGGAACGTGAAGGAAAAAAAACTCAGTCAGTTTAGATCGACAGGAAATCACAAGTATGAATAAACATTGAATGACACTGTTCAAAGTCATTACATCATATATTTACTTTAGGCATACATTCGCATTAATATTTTCTCCATTTGAGCAGCATCAAGTAAAAGCCTATTTACAATGCTTTTTTATGAATTGTCTTTAAACACACGTACCACGAAATACATTCGAATACAATTTCTGGCCAGTCGAGTCGTTTATAGTTGCAGATTTGATCATGAGGTGGCATCATTTAGAGAAACACTAGAAAACCAAGGAGTACTGGATAGCCGTCTCATCCTGGCTTAGGATTCTTCAGCAGTATTATATTATTATTATTGTTTCCTTTAATTCCTAGAGGAACATAGCGCTTCAGCCATGCGTCTCCATTGCGTTCGGTTCTCTGCTAAAGTCTTCACCTGGCTCCAAGTCTGCCCACATGTTTTCATCTCCTCTTCACATGATCTCCTCCATGTCACCCTCACCCTTGCACTGACGACCAACTCGCCACTTCCCTTTCGGGTTCCACTCGAGCGGTGGCTTGTCTAGTGGTGTCACTTGATGGTTTGTTTTCTCAGAGTATGGCCAATCCACCTCCATTTCTTCCTGCCTATTTGTTCCACAGTTGGTTCCTGCTGGGTTGGTTCGCTCATTGCCAGAGATCTCTGTTGCTGATGTTTTCTGGCCGGCCATCTGATCTTGAGTATTGAGCGAAGACAACTGTTAATGAAGGTCTGTAGTTTGTTTGAGATGCTCTTTATGACGCGCAGTGCAAGTCTCTGATCCGTATAGTAGTACTGACTGACTTCACATTGGAGTTGAAAATCCGGATCTTATTTTGATGCTTCTTCAGCAGTACTCACCCAGAATCCAATGCGGTGTCATTGGCCATTCAGCCATTTACATGAAATCCGATGGCCCATGAATTGTAACTTCCGTCAATTTTCGGTTTTTAGCCTCACCACCAGCCAATTTCATAGGCAAGTATTTATCCTCACACCTGACCTAGTGGGCCACGTCCCAGGGGCTAAATAGTCGAGCAGCTGACCTAGTAACCTGAAGTTCCCACGTTCGACACCCAGTTGGATCACAGATGTGCACCACTGGACAGTGCCAAACTAGGATGAAACAACTGTCTAATGCTCTAATATCAATGCATGATCAAACTTGAAACCAGTTGAATCCCTACAAACTAATGTGGCGACAGAAGGCAAGAGCCAGGCAACAGATCATTTATTAAGGAAATCAACGCATATTTATATATTTTCATGTACATTACTATGGTTATGTAAACAAACAAACACAGTCTTCCGATTGGTTGTTTCTCACGACAAATCTTGGGAACCTAAATATTGACGTAAATTACTGTCTACCAATTTGGCTAGTAGACAGCTCTCACCACACTAACACTTTGAAATTATATTTTTTGGATAGTCTATGTCCGCTATCAGAATCTCGGCTAACTAGCGTCCAGGAGTTCTTAACTATCAAGATCTGTTCAGTATTTAGACCTTCAAAATATGATGGCAAATTTTGTCTAGTATCTAGTTGTCAAAGTCGTACCAGTAGTATTAGACGTGAAGAGATAATTGGCATGAAGTTTTTGTCGACGCTTAAGTTTGTTATGTATCAACAGTGAGATTTATTTGCCATGTTGAGAGAAAAAACACATTTTCCTTCTGACCGAAATCTGCATCTCTTAGAGATGGAAGCACAGATTTTATCATAAGAATGTTCTGAATGGAAAGTGGAATATTCAGCTAAATCATGAGTTCTTATTTGTAATAACTCCTTTTTTATGCATGTTTTGGATGACGACTGCTGGAAGCTTTTGAAAATCATATATATACATATATATATATATATTAACAGACCCAAACTGGCTAGAGTTGGTGTCAGATTATTAACCGTTATCCTATCTTTACACTTGTTTAAGATAATTCTAGGGTGGCTAAGAAGTTGAAACAAGATTTTTATGAATAACTGCCTGTGTAAGCTACGGATTCATCGAACTTTGATTGGAAAAATTGAACTACAATCAACAGAAATCCACGGAAGAAAGAATAGTAACACAGAAAACATCAGGATTTAGTGGATCTGGGGTATCACAAAGGGTGAATGCATCTCAGTCATTGAGAACAATTTGAGGCATATCACCAACATTCTCCAGCCATTAATTCTTAACACCCCGATCACGCTGACCAGACAGTTCACAACTTCCTACGGGGCTCAAATTAAGTGTTTAAAAACTTCATCGATTGATGCCATATTTTGGTTTGACCAGCCCAACCCATATGTCAGCGAACATTGGTCATCGAGGGAGGCGATGGCTGGACATTAGCAACGTGTGTCCCAGACATCTCAACCAATGTAGTTTCAAAACCTCATCAATTAACTTTCCCCTATCAACTACCTAATACTCGACGCCTAACCTAAATTCTACTCACCATATTATACCAATTAACGCGGGAGATAGGACGCAAACATCTGTGGTCTCCGCATATCTTCCACTTTCAGTGGCCATGTCTCATAGACATATAGGAGGACAAAGCGAACTGCTGCGTCGAATATCACGTCCGTGCTATCCCTAGTTAGTAGTTTAACACATAATATTTTTCAGATTTTCATTCCTCAGAAAACTCATATTCTGCATCATGAAACTCTTCAGATTATTACTGAACTTCCCAGAGTGTGTTAGACAGTAATCATACTAGTTGTCTACTGTTAAGTGATCACTGGGTTGAATGACACTACAACTCTGTACTGGGAGTCAATTCATTTTACTCTAGCGCCAGTTAGTGGTCGTCATTAGAGTGCATATATTTACATCTTCTAAGATGAGAATCTGTGTCACTTATTGCTGGAGTCACAGTATACACCACTTCATCAACACTTTGGTATTTATTTGTAGGGATTTGGTTGATTGGTTACAGGATTTCATCATGAACTGACATTGGTTAGAGAACCATTGGAAAACCTGGGAGTACTGGACAGCTGTTTCGTCCTAGTTTGGGACTCTTCATCAGTACCCTCCACCAGGGTTCAAACCCACGACCTTCTGGTTACAAGGCGAGCTAGCTCGTAGCCATTAAGCCACTGAGACCCGATCCAATGGCCCATGAATTCTAACTTCTGCCAATTCAACCCCTAGCCAATGTCTTCGGCGAGTATTTGTCCTCACACCGACCTGCTGCACCCTACTGGTATTTGTTTGTAACCGTATATATGTTCTGATAATCGTTCTATTCGAAGTATTACTTACATCTTCTTATAACATGTTGGTTGCTTAATTACTGTTTCTATCAGGTTGGTTTATGTCGACAATTGCGTAATATTAGATGGTTTGCTGATTGTGATGCTGACCGATTTTTTCCACGTTGTTTCATTATTAGCGAAGAAGAAGATCGTCAAGCCTTCATTAGTAAGTCTGATATGCGAAGTATGGATAAACATTGGAATTATTTCATTGCTTTACTTACAGTTTTTTACCATACGTTTTCGTTAATTACAATCCAATTACATTCGTCTACTTTAATTTATATATGCCTTTCTGAAATGTAGCTTTCATTTAGAGCTCCAAGTCAGATAGTCACTGTTTCACTTCATAAGAGCGAATATAGTTTTAATGATACATATATGAGTGTGAATCTCATGCTGGTTCAAAACACGGTTTTCATCTTATCTTGAACTCGTCACCCCCAAATTAAGGGTATTGATTTCAAGTGGTAACCATTACCAATCAAGTGAAATCAAATTTAAAATCATAATATAATGAAAGCAATACATCAACTATGGTTTGAATCCGTTGGTTTCTGATTATCATAAAAGTTAGAAATGATGACAGTTATATTATTTGACACTGAATGGTGTCGGGAGATACTTATTTCATGGTCGCTTGCTAGTTATCAGTTTCGGTCATCTTAGAATCTTGTGTATGCTTTGAGTAGTGCTTCCAAAATACTGAAGCTGGTTGCTAAGCAAATGTAGTAACTTTCGAATCATCTTACATAATAAGTCGTTTTGAATTTAGGGAAAAACACTTCCATTTCATGAAAGCCTTCTCCCTATGCATATAAACACACTGATGCACCCATAGAGCTAAAATCATCTCCTATCATTAAGTTGGTGAAATAATACTGATTTAACCAGTTACTTCTTTCTCTTACGTAGGCGGTATCGTTACAACTACAAGCGTCATAGATGTGATCGTCAAAATCAGGATCAGGAAATAATAGACACTTTCATTACCCTGAATTCAGTGTGGAAATCTGCTGCTCTGAGCATAAGGAACAAGACCTGGATTCCCAACACTAGTGTCAAGTCAGCCAGTGCTTCTATGTGATTCAGAGACTTGGTGTGCGTGTCACCCAAAACATTTCCGACAGGCTACCTCAGACTTTCATCAACAGCTGCATCGTACGCCAGGCCCTCGAGCGGTACCCGAGTGAGGAAAAACGAGTTTTTCGTCCGGATGTGACATGGAGATCATGGAAGTTTATGGCCAGTTGTGGAACCAGCTAAAAGTGGACAGAGATTCAACGACCCGTGAATTCCATCCCAAGCGGCTGGATAGTCAACGAGATTAGCCTTGTTACTTGAAGGTCCCGGGTTCGATTCCCCGTGGGGTCATGGGCACGCTCTGTTGAAGAGTCCCGAAGTGGAGTGAAACAGCTGTTTAATGCTAACGCTAACTGATGTTAGTTCGTGAAAGTGTCTAATAACTGAAGTTAAATCAATTCAAATCCACATAGTTGCCATAATCTAAATATGAATCTATAAATAATAGGCGTACTAAAAGCTAATTTCATTTTTGATTGACACAATTTCTGGGAACTAAAGAGTGTTAAACGGTCATTCTTTCCAAGTTTTTGATTCGATTCTGATTATACAGATAGATAATTTATATGAAAATTATTTGCACAGCTTTATTTTTAATTTAAAGCTAATGTGTGCTAATTGTTTTATGTATGACTGTGAACAATTGATGATTGAAGTTCGGAAAGAAAATTTTGGTTAAGTGTAAACATACTGATCTCAGGACGCCTAAAAATGAGCACAGAGATGACACTGTTACCGGATTTGTTTTGTCTTATTTATTCGACCCACTTACTTTACTATCTTTCCGTTCACTAACATGTCTTTTTTTAATGTGATAAATTAAATCACAGAGTTATTCTACACCGCTCTGTCTGTTGGCTGAGCTAAAAGTTGTGAACTGGTTCTCTATTTCCACTTCAGTATCTATATACAAATACTTCTTTTTGTTATAAGGACATTATTACTTCTGCCTGCCTGAGTGGATAGTCAGTATCAAGACGCACGTAGATGACTAAGACTTTGAAACTCGGAGTTGACTAAAGACTAAACCGGTGATACCTTTATTGTCTCGGTCGGTTTTCGACATAGAACTTTGCACATATGTGTGGCAGTTCAAGCCGCCACACTCCATGTAGCACACAAAACAAGAGAAGAAAGTAGGAGAAATGCATAATATAGACAGCAAACAGAGGTGTGAGACAAAAGGAATAGTAATAACGAAGAACAAAACACCTACCTACGTGGCTTAGACTAACTGTTGCAGATTTCATTGACTTGTGCCATGTTATCGTTTGACCGCCGCTAGCTCTTTTCCAGCTTGACCCTTTATTGTCTATCACATATGAGGAGTATTTCGAATCAAAGTATAAATATTAAGAGAAGAAATGGGTCAGTCTAAGCCCCAACCTTGAAACTGAATTTCATGGAATGTGACTAATGGTTATAACCTACTGAAAATTAATTGTATTTTCAAATTCTACTTGGTAATCGTAAACTGAATATTTAGATTGTGGGTTTTCGTAGGGATTTAAATTAAATTTCAGTCTAGATTTCGTCACGAACCAACACCTTTTATAGAGATCTGTTTCGTCCTATTCTGGAACTCTTCAGAGTGCACACCCACCATCATACGAGGGATTGAACTCTGGACTTACAAGTTACTATGCCAAGTTTGTCATCCATTCAGCCATTTGGGACAGAATTCAATGACCCGTGAATCTGAACTTCTGTCAAGTCCTGATATAGCTCCACCATCAACTAATGCCACTTCACCCTAACTTAGTGGACCCCATCGGCCACGGCTTCTCAGGACATCCATTCATTAGACATCAATGACCTGGGGATAGATATTTAGATTATGGGTTTTTATAGGGCTCTGGATCGATTTCAATGTGTATTTCCTCACTGATGAAGAGTTCCAAACTAAGACGAAATATCTGTGCCTTCCTCTCTGATTTTCAATGATTGGCGTTGGTTGGTGACGAAATCTGCATCGAATTAAATTGAATAACTGACAACTTCACTTGGGAATATTGTGTTTGTTTTTTTATAGATGACTTTAAATTGACCGCTTGCATATCCTTGGTAAAAATGGTCGCCAGCCTGACAGTTGATATCTATCAGCCAGAAACAGGTGCAACAGTTATGTGTGATGTTGAAGATACTGTGGAAGCTAAGAATGTTGATGGTGATGGTGATGACAGTCATGAAGAGAATAATAAAGTTGATGTCAATTCTTTGAAAAGTGAAAATATCTCAGTGAATGATGTGTACGAAGATAGTATTCTATCTTTCCAAGATAATACAATATCGTCTAATAATTCATGGAATATTGGTAAGTTTTTTTTAAAAATTTTATTTGCTTGGTGATGACTGCCGGCGGAATCCAAGATGAGTTCATCATGCGTAATTATGAAATTTCCATCGAAAATCAAACCTAGCATCCATCCCTGTAGTACCATTTAATTTATATATATAAATGATTTTATTGGTCCACTAGAGATAGACAGTACTTGTTCTGAGTCACAGTATCTATTCTTGGTTGTGCGTTCCCGTTGATACTTTTAAATTTCAGCTCTAGAGCTATACGTTACCCTGAGTCTACAGACTTCATAACTTCGCACTGACTGTCCCCAGTGTTAGCTATGAAGTCATAACTATTGTAAGCTGGAATCTTCTGTGTGTTAAGAACTGTAACCTTATCTGTTCGTCTTCGAGACTCTGACCTTTGCTGCTGATTAACAACAATATCCTGAAAAATACTTTCAGTGTAGTTTGCCTAGTATGATCTCAGAAACTGACCACTAGTAACTCCATACAAATGTTTCAGAGTGTTTTCTTCTTTATCATTACATCCTCGTGACATAAAGCCCTTGGGAACGCAACTAGCAACCACCCAATTCAGTGAGACAATTCACCGGGACAATTACATTCACATATGAAAGGCTCTTATTAAGTTTTCTAAGGCTACTGTGGATAATTCACTATCCTATTACTGAACCTACGGTATAATGTGAGTTTCCTGTCTGACCATTAATATAGATTAAGCTGTAGGAACTACAGTTTGTGTGGGAAATAGGCAAAATGTTCCAGCTACAAGGTTTTAGCCTTTATGTGTTATCCACAATGAGTGATGATTATTTGTTGGTTATACGAACTCACTACTGATTGCGTTTGTGAGTAAAAAATGTTACCGGATTTCTCAAGTATTAACACATAATTAAGTGAAATCATTTTTGAACAAAGCAAGAACTACAGTTTTTGCAGAATAATAAAGTGGTACCATCTTTTATTTCGTTGGCTTCTCGTCAGCTGCTTACAGACTAAAGACATTATTAAATATATCTACAAAAACAATTTTAACATACTTGCACAGAGTTCATTTTAAACAAAAATCTATACTGTCCACAGAGCAAGAGAGATTTGCTCGGATGAATGTCTTGACGAGGAGCTCAACAATATTAAACGTTTGCTAAGTGAGAATGGTTATCCGGAAAAGTTTATTGATAAGAATATGAATCTAAAACCAAAACAATCCAAGGTACCAACAGTTCCAAAGAAATCCTTGTTCTTGCAGATGCAGTTCCTAGGAGACAACACAAGTGAAATACTAACACATCGCCTCAGAAATGCGGTAAAAAGAACATTCCCTGCTGCTCAATTGCGCTGTATCTTCAAAACCACTCCTCTTCTGCGTTCGGGAATAAAAGACAAACTGCCTAATTTCGCCTCTTCCATGTGTATCTACCAATTTAACTGCTCCTGTGGAGCCAGTTACATAGGCCGTACAATTAGGCGTGTTTCTCGTCGAATTTCCGGACATCACCCTGCCTGGTTAAGCAAAGGTCAAACAAAATCTATTCGCAGTGCTATTCTGGCGCATCTTGTGGAGACAGAACACAAGATTGACGTTAATCATGCTTTCAGGGTCATTTACCGCATACCTATGAATCTCAATTTCGCTTTAAGAGTTCGACTTCTAAATATTGCTGAGGCTGTGGGGATTCATATTAATAAGCCTAATTTATGCACCCAGAAGAAGTTAGTCCAGTCATTATCATTACCTTGGCCATCCAGGTTTGAATAATCCAGAATTTTGTAAAATTTCCCTAATTTTAGTTGATATTCTATCCGCTGTTATATCTTTATTATTATTATAATTTAAGCATCATTAATGAACTGCAATAGCATTGATCATACTTTACAAATCGATATTATTTGAAAAAACGCTAATATTGTTAATAACTACTAATTTAAAATATTCTGTGTATAAAAACATATATATAATTGTAGAGCCTGGAAGAGGAATTTATCGAAAAGAATATTCTTTGCTCGATTATTTTGTTTTTATAAAAATCAATCGATCAATATATGCATACACTAATAATATATACATATATATATATGTAATATTAAACACTATTCCGAACAATAATGATCACACACAATGGAAACTTTCAGCATTACGTATTCAGATGAAAAATATCCAGTTATCAGGGCAAAGAAAGACTGATAACCGCTTCTTTTTGGACGCATAAATCAGGTTTCAGGCGCCTGATGGAAATGGCTTCAGCAAACTTAAGGAGAATTGTGCTCTTTTGCTTATTGATAATTCTGAACGACTTTTCGACGTCCACCTCATGACCCGTGTCGAGGAGATGCCTGGCGATGGCACTGTTTAAAGCATTTGTTACCTTTAGACATAAGCTTTTTGGTACATGTTCAGAAAATCCGAGATATGCCCTTCTTTCTGTCCTTCCAATATAACTGCTCCCGCAGATATATGTAAATTTGTGCATACAGTTGGATTTAACATGAGAAGGATATCTATCGATTTTTGATTGCACCAAAGAGCAAGTTGTTCGATAGACGGGAACGAGCTTGGCTGCAGGATAGGCTCTGGCTGGTGACGTACTCAGCCTTCCGTTGATCATCGGTGCAATGTTTTCACCTTTATAATCAAGCTGAATGTAGATTGGCTTTTTACCCACTGTGATTTGTTTTACATTTGTGACTTCAGATCTTCCATACTTGTTGATGAACTTTTGAGGGTACCCATTGCTCTTCAACATCTTTTGAAGAAACTCTTAAAACTCTCTGATCTCTTAAGTTTTAGCTGATAAGCTCGAGTTTCATTAGATAAGCTGACACTGGCTAGAAGGCATGACGTTTTAGCTGTTGAATTCCAGATAGAATAGAACATGAATTGTGCATTTGACTTCGAACTGTCGTAGAATGCAATAACATAAACCTGAAAGATTACTTAGCTATACACCAAGTTCCTCGAGATAATATTTTTTGGTAAGGAATATGAAATAGACAGGAAGGTTGGCTAACAAGTAGGTTATTATATGTTGATTTTTGGAATACTTATCGTTTACTATGCAGGAAATTCCCAATACACTGAATCATATTGAGAGGAGTTAATTCATTTATCCTGTATCCAGTTGTATGAGATAATTAAAAGTTTAAAAATTAGTTCAAAATTAGTTGGTCTGTGTAATCAAGATGAAACTCACATGATTTATAAAATTCGTATTAGGTATTAGTAAAAGCAAGAAAGATTTGAATGAACAATTGTTTTCAACAACTTCTTTCCTAGGCTCTATAATTATGAATTCAGAAACATTATCTCACTGTAGATAGATACTGATGCAACAATAATGCAAGGTTAACATTCTGATCGCTGAATCTATTTCAGCCGGATTATGAGCTGGTGGTTCGGTGGTAGAATGCTCACCAACCACGCATGTGGACTGGGGTTCGAACCCCGGCCAACAAACGCACTCCTTAACCCCGCTTGGCTGGTAGTAAGCCCAGTAAAGAGGGAAGGTAGGGCATGAGGCTGGCCACTCCACTCCGTAAAAATAACAACAATGCTACTTAAAACATTGTTGTCAATAAATATACAATAAGTAAAATCAATCACAATATACTTAGTTAATTATTCAAAACTTTAGTGACGATTTCTTTCTCTATGGAAAGTTAATTTCTTCACTAGATTCCCTGGAAGTAATGTTTAGTTAGCTGTACACTTTGTCTTTTGATTGCATGGAGGATTTCATCATGAACTGACATCAGTTAGAGAACCACTGGAAAACCTGGGAGTACTGGACAGCTGTTTCGTAAGCCTTCAGCAGCACGCACCCACCGGGGTTCGAACCCAGGACCTTCTGGTTACAAGGTGAGCTCGTAGACCATTCAGCCACTGGGACCCGATCCAATAGCCAACCCGTGAATTCCAACTTCTGCCAATTCATGATATAGCGCGACCACTTTGCAATGTCTTCTTTCTTGTCTTTTGTGGACATCAGTTCAGAGAACCACTGAAAACCATGCGGTATCGAACAGCTGTCTTATCCAAGTTTAGGACTCTAGTGGGGCGACGGGTGTGGACTACTGGCAGGATCTAAACTAGGTCGGCAAATCTGATCAGTGCTACTTGGTTTTCAATGATTCTCCAACTGATTTGTGATGAAATCTGCGGTAAAATTAATCAAACAATCTACAAAAACCATAATCTGAATAACTGCTGTATGCTATGTGAAAGTGAGAAACGTTTACCTCTAAATTAGTCTCATTTGAACAGACACACATTTCTTCTATTACAGACTCACCACCGAATGATTCATCAAAAATAATTGAAATACCAAACGAAATTATAAATTTTGCTATATTTCAATGTCAAGAATTTCTACGATTTAAGCACAATGATGATTTGGATAAATCAAAAAAGGTAGATTTTGTCTTTTGTTTTGTTTTGTTGCAGTCTGAGTAATTTTTTTCTCCTGATCGTCTTAGAGGGGATGACAGCTTAGTATTGTCTCTTTTGTAGTCGAGCATTAGGGAACACATGTCGATTTTTCTTCTGTTAATGAGGCTTTTAGGCTTCTTTTGATTTTTTCCAATTTCTAGATTTTTTAGCTGAAATGCAGTGTAGTACTTATCATTGTAATAATCATTATTATTATTTGAATCTATCACTTTTTTGGGCTGATGATTCTGTATTGGTTAGTATCTTTTGATATCCTGACTGTTAGTCTTTTTACCGATAACGAAAATTATATATTATAATTATTCTTCCCTTGGGTTCCTACTGGAACATAGGGCTTCAACTACACGTCTCCACTTGCTTCTGTCTTCTGCTGTACTTTTCACCTGCATCCATGTTAATCCATACTGTTTCAACTCCTCTTCACACGATCTCGTCTATGTCACCCTTGCACGACGAACCACTCGCCGCTTCCCTTTTGGGTTACACTCGAGCTATGGCCTGACGCGCGATGTCACCCAGCTAGCGGCCTCCTCAGCGAGTGTCCAATCCATCTCCACTTTCTCCTGCATATTTGTTGAGCGATTGGTTCTTGTTTTGTTTCTTCCCATAGTTTCTTGTTGGTTCTTGTTCTTTCCGGCCATCTGATCTTCAGTAGTATAGAGAGAAGACAGTTGTTGATAAAGGTCTACCTGCAACAGGCTGTTGGAAATATTCTTTGTGACCCGCCAAGTTTCTGATCCATCCATATAGAAGAACTGACTGACTTGACGTTTGTATTGAAAATCCGAATTTTGTTGTTGATGCTGAGTTGAGTGACAGCGGAAGATTTCCGAATTGATTTGAGGTTGATGAATGTGTTTCTCGCCTTCCCGATTCTCGATTTAACATCCTCGTCGGTTCCTCCTGTAGCTGACACAATGCTCCCTAGATAAGTGAATGAAGTAACCTCTTTCAAATCCTTCCCGTTGATGGTGATTGGCGCTGGTTGTTGCTGCTGTTGTTGTTGGTTGTTTGGTTGGTTATTTTCATAACCTCCGTCTTGTCTATGTTCACCTGGAGTCCTGTCTTTGCTACTTCTTCAACCAGTTTGTCGGTTTTCGCTTGTAAGTCTTCGATTTTGTGTGACATCAAACACAAATCATCCACGCGCGAAATCCAGGTCTTCTAGATTCTTCACGTCGGTCCAGGATATCCCTGTCTTCTCGTTTCCCACTGTCTGACGCATAATCCACTCCGTCCACCACAATTAGGAATATCATTAGTGATAATAAGCACCCTTGTCTGACTCCTGTGTTTACTCCAAAAGCCTCGCTGAGTTTATATATATATATTATATATTATTATGCTATTATTATTCCCCTTGGGTTTTTAGTGGGACATAGGACTTCAATGGCACACTGCCATTTCAAGTCACTCTCTACAGTCACCTTTAGCTGGTTCGACAATTGTCCATAAGCTTTCATTTCTTCCTCAAGTCATCTCCTCCATGTCACGTTTGGACTCCCAACTCGTCTTCTCCCATTCGGGTTCCCCTCGAAGGCATAACGTATATATATATATATACAAGTACAGGTGGTTTCTGCTTACAAGTCTTGATATGGAATGCATTCTAGGTGTCATAGTTTTATGTACTGCTTCTCTATCAGTTTGTAGATACTCTGGTGATAATTGCCAACAAACATAGCACACTGTTAAATAGCTTTATGCTAGCTGACTTTAGAAACCCTCAGACAAAAATGCACTACAGTTAACACAATGGTTTCATGTTATTTAGCTTCTGTATGGTTCAGAGACTTGATGCGTGTGTCAGGGAGAGCATTTCCGACAGACTACTACAAACTTTCATCGAAATCCGCCCTCCTTCTCTCCCCGATGGCTCGATAGTGAAGATTAGATGGCTAGCCAATAGGGATAAACAGCAGGAACGTCTGACAACGAACCGACAAATAACCTATTTCCTAAAAATATTCAGAAGGAATGCTGAAAATGGAAACTGTTGAGTGACATCACGAGCCAGATAGGCTGTCCAGTGGAACTCAAATGGGAAACCCTGCCACGCTCACCGATATCGATGGTGGCCTGCAAATTGGCTACCGATATCTAATGTGAAATCTATGTACCAAAATAGAAAATACGGAGAGTTGGGCTTAGGTCTGAAGTTGACACAGAAGAGATAGTGTGGGGAAAAAATGAAAAACTTGTGGGTGATCATGGAGCCAGCTAAAGGGGACTTTAGAGGACTGTGATGAAATGGTGATGTGCTTCTGAAGTCCAATGCTTCACTCGGAAACCTGGGGTATAAAAGTAATAACAATATAATTTCATACCCAAATCTTTTCTCACCGCTACATAATCTCCATAGTAATAATAATATTTACATTTATGTTTTCCGAGTTGATCACGGACTGATATCAGTTAGAGAACCATTGAAAACCAGGGAGTACTGGACAGCTGCTGTTTCATCCTAGTTTGGGAATCATCGGCAGTACGCACCCACTGGGATTCGAACCCAGGACCTTCCGGTTACAAGGCAAGCTCGTATACCATTCAGCCACTGGGACCCGATTCGATGGCTCATGAATTCTAACTTCTACCAATTCGTGATTTAGCGCAACCCCAACTATTGTCGTTGGTGGAAATCCATCCACACGTGACTTCTAATTGGACCTCACTGGTCACGACTTCTCACTAGAACTCAGGAACTCCAACCTGTAGCAAGTCACTAGCGAGCATCAGAAATTTTCTATATTTGGTGTGGGTGCGCTAAAATCACGAATTGGTAGAAGTTAGAATTCATGAGCCATCGAATCGGGTCCCAGTGGCTGAATGGTATACGAGCTTGCCTTGTAACCGGAAGGTCCTGGGTTCGAATCCCAGTGGGTGCGTACTGCCGATGATTCCCAAACTAGGATGAAACAGCAGCTGTCCAGTACTCCCTGGTTTTCAATGGTTCTCTAACTGATATCAGTCCGTGATCAACTCGTAAAACATAACTAATCCTTACAAACCAAACTATAGAAAATTTATGTTTTCATTTACTTCATAGCAGTTTCTAGCTCCGGAACATCCATGGGATAGATTTCTCTCTTGGTATTATCACATAGTAAAGTAAGTTTGGATAATTATTTATTCTTTTTATATATATTAAGTATTAATCATTATCTATTTCGAAAGTCATCTCTGGAAGTCTTTTTATTATTTAATAAAATATAAGAAGTTTTTGATTTATATTTTCTTATCGTACTTTTTATATTTGGAGAGAGAAAAATGAAGTAAAAGAACAAATAGGGGTGAACTTTCTTTGGAAATACAAAAATTATCTCCTCCATACTTTAAAATAGTTTTAATTAAAAGGCAAATACACTTGGAATTATTCGGTGGATGGTGACTAGTAGTGAAATCCAGAATGCGGATTTCGTCTTATTTGGGACTTGCCAGCTGGATGTACCTGAAATCCCCAGTGAATGATGTTATCCTCACTGAAACTTGTGGCTGATGAGTCTCAAATAGGACGAAATGTTCATTCTAGGTCTTAGTGCTAGTCACTGTCCACCAAATAACATCATGTTGGTTTTCAGACATCGTTGAAGCGTCCCTACTAGGAGCCAACATGTCAGCAGGGACCGAACACTTCGGTTCATTATAGTCAGTCAGTGGGGAATACGGAATTAACTTAAGCAAATTATACTTGGAGCTATCTCATAAATTCCTGTTATTCATTACCTCAGAAATTTATTTCATTAGCTGTAATATAATCAGTCAGTTCAAGCTACTAGTGAAATCAGGAACCTTCATCAAAACACGTAGGGGGTTAAACGAAAGTATTAAGTAGTATTTGAAAAATAACACTTCTGGGTGGAATTTCACAGCTGTCAGCTTTGAAATAGCACAATATTCAAGCCATAGTGTAAAGGGAGGAGACAGGAGACTGAGTAACGGACGTTAATTAAGGAAAAACAAAATATTTATGCATTTTCAGCCACACTAAAGTTTGGCTAGGTCAGGTGAGAATAAATTGTTCTGACTGGTTGGCAATTGGCCCGAGGTCAAACAAGCTGTCCAATGAGGTTATTTCGTGTCCACAACGTAAACTAAATCCAGATTTGAGGAATAAATACTTCTACCTTTGCAGCCATTGACTTAAAATGTTGATGTCAATTTTGGCTGCTTTCTATCAGTTTGCATTAAGCCACAGTAGTATTTGGATCACTTAGTAGTTTATTTGATTCTGTGTTTACCCATCTCTTTCAAACAGTCAGCTAGAATTAAGATTGTTTGAATGATTTACTTTTACGTACTGAATCACTTCTGAGATATCACTGATAAGCTTAGTTCTGAATGAGCATCTAGTGTGTAAACGACCTCGATCTGGGTAGAAAGCAATACAGGTTGTGTAAATGATTTCCAGTTACTTATATATCAGTTAGTTACTTGGATTTTCACATCATAAAGGGGTGTCTATATGATCGTAAAGCATACTGAATTTAACTTTCTAACACACACACAGTCCAAACTGATGGGGAAGATATTTGAAAAGTCTGTTGCTGATACAAGGTCAAATAAAATGAGTAGAATCTTCTCAGAATTCGAAAAAGACAACCAAAACTTTTCTTAGTTGGTTCAGTTATAATAAATTTACCCGCGTCCTTGCCAGCCAGGGCATAATTGCATGTTTCAGCTCTAGAATTAGAACATCTCCTTTGCAGAGCTTACGATTTAAGGCATCATGGCTGGTTTAATAAGACGATTTTAAGGTACCTATGTAGATATGAATAGTTTAGTCTCTGAGATGCGTATATGATATTTTCTTTTCATCTGACTTCAAGTAAAATAGCAATCTACAGTATATTGTGTGACGTAATACTGTTCGTTCTGAAGTATAGACTAATCCCTTATGATTTTTTTCCCTTCGTTGCTGGGAAATAGGCGCCAGTAGGTTAGAAGCCAATTAAAAATGTGCTTGAGTACATTTGGCTACTCAGGGAAGTAACTGAATGGTTAAAAGACTAAGAATTAGAGAAAATATGATGCAATGTGTTGTAGGGAAATTCAAGGTAGCCCAGTGATTCAGACAGGCTGTGAGTCAAGACATCAGTTGTAAAATGGATAAGTAAACTATAAATCATAATAAGATAAGGGATCATTCAGTCTGAAGAGGACAAAAGTCAAATACAACAGGTTTCTTTAAAACACATTTTTTCAGATATCCAACTTGTAGAAGAAGATATATCTGTGAGAAACATATTGTAAACGAGACAAATCCAGTCATAAGCTGATGAAGTTGACTTTAAACAAATGTACATAAAAGCGAATATGAAAATGTTCTACATTTTTTCCATATTAGTTTGTTTTTTAGATGTATCACACAGTGAAACAGTATTAGTATTTACTGGATGACAGTTTCGAACAAAATTTATTATTCATAATCATATCAATTATAATCACACGACTTCGAAACTTGAGTTTTATAGTTTTCTTTGTCCTCTCCTATTTGTCGTAGGGGTAGTAGAATTTTCCAGATATCTGGGACAGGTGTTGAATCATTCCTATTACACGTATTTGCAGTTGATTCTGTTATCAATCTCTCCCTCGATCCTGTGACATTAGATTTTAAAACTGTCATCTTATCCCATCCTATTGTATGGTTGTGTGTAATTGCATGTAGTGCTATAGCTGAACTATTCTCTAGATTTCTTATCTTATTCGGGTCGACTAATCTAGATTTTGCTAGGTTTTTATGCTCGGCTAGTCTGACTGCCCCTGTTCTACTAGTTTGACCTATGTATTTGACCTGACAATCATTGCAGGCAGGGTATTAGATAAACTAAATTGTTTTGTTTTAAAGGCTCCACAGGATCCTTTAACCGACAAAGCTTGTTTCTAATTGAGTTTGTGGGTGTGAATGCCACTTTTATTCCTGCCTTGTTAAGAATTCTGCGTGAGGTTTCTGAGGTTCCTTCCTTGTATGGAATTACTACTGGTGATTTAGATTCCTTGTTGTTGGTGTTGTCATTATCTTGCGCATATTTGACATGCATGTTGTCAATAATAATAATATTATTATTATTACCACTATCACTACTATCATTATTTATTTTTTTTATTTTTACATTTCTCTACATACTTTCTGACTAATTTATCAGGGTAATTATTAAGTTTCAAAGCTTCTCTTATATGTATCACTTCCTGTCTTAGATTTTCCTTGGTACTACTTAGTTTTTGTGCTCTATTATTTAAACATTTCACCAATCCTATTTTTACTGACATAGAATGAGATGGTCGGAAATCCAAATATCTGTTTGAATGTGTAGGTTTCCTGTAAACACACTAGTGTGTTTAACTTCTCATCTTTTTTCCTTTTTATTCTACAATCTAACATTGGAAGCTCCCCTTCCCGACTTTCCAATTCATAAGTGAATTGAAATGCCTCCACCTTTGAGTTAATGTGTTCGAAAATTCTGTCTATATCCTGTGTTCTAAGTATAGTGAATGTGTCATTTACATACCTTCACCATACTTTTAGGGTGGGGTGAACATTTCAATCGCTATGTTTTCCCACCGATCCATGAATATATCTGCCACAATCGGGGATATTGGGGACTCCGTAGCAACTCCTTCAGTTTGTATATTTTTCCCTGGAATTTAAATACTGTGGAACAAAGAAAAGTATAAAACTCAAGTTTCGAATTCGTGTGATTATAATTGATATAGTTATGAACAATAAAATTTGTTCGAAAAGTCATCCAGTAAACAAGACTGTTTCACTGTGTGATACATCTAATAAACAAACTAATATGGAATTACTTTACCACAGTGCCCAAGTTTTACATATATGTTCTACATTTTTTGTAAATTATTTTAGGACGCCTCAATTACTTATGAATGCTAAACATCTCTCACCTCATTGTCATCAATTGTGTAAACTACTGAAAAAATGCTGTCCACAATTCGATATGGACGGGGTACGCAATGTATGGATTGTGAAACCTGGTGCTAAGTCAAGGGGGCGTGGTAGGTCTTCTTATGATTATTATTATTACTGTTAATTTACTGATGATTTTTCTTCTTTCCTTTGGGTTTCGAGTAAAACATGGGGCTTCAGGATTGAGCTGTGAAGTCTCATTAACGGTGGTGTTTCTTTTATTGGGTGAGGTTGCTAGCCTCGTGTCCAACCTTCTCCTGGCTATGCGAGGTTTAGGAGTGCATCTGTTGGCCGAGAGTCGACCCCAGATCACGTGAGTGGTTGACGAGTATTCTACCCATGAACCACCGATGCAATAATATGCATAGGTTTAATTTGAATTAGCTTAAATAAATCGTGACACTCTGTGTCCTCAGTGATGCTTTTCGTGAAACGTTCATAGAAAATGAAATCTCTGTAGTTAAATAAATGTTCTGTATCTCAGTGGCTTAGTCTCAGTTATTCTTTACAATAAAAATTTCTCTATTATTATAGTTTCAGGTTTATTTAAGTTCTGTTTTAAGTTATCATGTTCTCAGTTATTATTTTATTCCATCTATAAATGATATGTTAAAAATATGACCACATCCGCACGAGGTGGTTTTAAGCGAACAGTCGTCTTCGATAACTTCTTCCTCAGGCTCTACAGTTATAAATCTATGAATATTAGAATATAAATAGCTAGTACAGGTATATATTGGAGTACATGTATAAAATAGAATTGTAGTTAGTTATTTAATATTGTCAGCTGGATGTGTACAAAATGTACAGTCATTCAGCATATAAGACAAGATAACAACTGTCATCACTTTTTTTATGCATGGTATCCCAATGCAGTTTCTGATATAATTTTCACTTGCTTTTACTGGCTATTTGTATTCTAATATCGATGAATTTATAACTGTGGAGCCTGAGGAAGAAATTATCGAAAACAATCGAATGGTAACACTACAGATCATCATTGAACGCAGCTTGAAATGACAGTCATCTCTCTACCTCAACTTCATTGACTTTGAAAAGGTATTCAGCAGACAGCGTCGGTCGAGAGGTGATTTGGAAACTAATTCGCTATTACCAAGGGGTGCCGCCAACAATTATACATCTCATCCAACAGTTGTGCGATAATCCTGCATGCCGAACAATCTACAACGGAAAACTAACGGAATCCTTCGAAGTGAAGGTGGGAGTAAGACAAAGTTGGCTGCCTACTAACTCCAATGATGTTCCTGATCGTAGGCGGCAGACTAGATAATGCGACAGACAGACGGTTAGCGGTTAGCGAGGAGACAGGCATAAAATGGACCCATACAAAAACAAACTTGGAGGATCTGAACTTCGCCGATGATATATGTCTGACTTCCCACAAACTGGAAGATATGCAAGTGGAGAGCATCAAGAGCATCTAGAGAACATAGGACTTCGGGTGAACATAGAGAAAACAGAGGTAGGTGATGAAGATTCCCTGTCAACAGCAACAACAAACAACAATAGATAACAATCAGCATAAATGGGAGGAATCTGAATGAAGCAACCTCCCTCAACTACCTACCTACCTACCTACCTACCTACCTACCTGGGAAGCATCGTTTCAACTACAGGTGGACGGAACTAATCATGATATCAGAGTGAGGGTTGAGAAATCAGGGAAAGCTTTCGTTACTCTCAAGTCTGTGTAGAGGTCAACAGCACTCAGCATTAAAATGAAAATCAGATGTGGATCTCCAACTCCAATGTGAAGTCAGTGATACTTACTATACGAATCAGAGACTTGGCGCCACATCACAAATGTCACTTCGAACAAACTACAGACTTTCATCAACAGCTGTCCTCGCTCAATACTATTCAAGATCAGATGGCCGGCCAGAAAAACACAGGGATCTCTGGAAATGAACGAACCAACCCAGTAGGAACCGACTGTGCAACAAATGTGCAGGAAGAAATGGGGTTGGATTGGCCATACTCTGAGAAACAAGCCATCAAGTTAGTGACATCCATCACACTCTAGGTCACCGCTCGAGTAGAAGCCAAATGGGAAGCGGCTAGTTGGTCGTCAGTGTGAGATTGACATGAAAGAGGTCATGTGAAGAGGAGATGAAAGCATGTGGGCAGACGTGGAGCCAGGTGAAAGGGTTGTTGGAGAGCCGAACGCAATGGAGATGTGTGGCTGAAGCCCTATGTTCCTCTAGGAACTAAAGGAAACAATAAATAATAATAATAATACATATAATCTAATCTTAACAGCAGGATAAATAACACTCTGAGTTGTATTGCAGAAATATTTGTGTTTACCGTAGTTAACAATGCAGAAAGCCGGGACATTCTCGAAGTTTTAGACTATCTTTACTAGGCGATGGAGTTAATTTTTGTTCCCTTTATCAATGTTAGACAGCGTATGTCCAACTTTTCTTGAAATTGAAATATATCATAAGCTGCACTTTTTTAGCGCACCGATGACTTTGAAATGCACTAGCAGAGTAAGTTAGTATAACCACGTAAATAAAATACCATGGTCATGAGCAAAGTGTTGAATGAAGTTTAAGAACACAAAACAGTCTATCTATTCAGTTCTCAATTAGGTTAGGTTTACACGCTAGGAACAGGTTAGGGTTATGTTGACCTAATCAGGGATGTATTAGGATCAGGTTAATGTTAGGATAGAGGAAGATTAAGGTTAGATTTGAGTTATGGGCATAAATTTTGCTATTTAACACAATCACTCGTTTCGTGGCCACTGAAGCTTTCGATCCCCTTGGATTCTTATTCTTTAACTTTGCCCTGTTACTGAGCTCTCAGTGGCTTTTCCTTCTTTTGTCAGCCTTTTTTACCAGTCATTAAACATTTTAGTTTGCATGACTTTAGCATTAATAGACCACAAAAATACTCTGGCTCATAACTGAGGTGATTTATTTAGAAATTCGAATGTGCGAGTAGTGATTGTCATATTTAGTTACCATTCTTACATTATTATGGAATTCCCTAGGATTCTCCACTTTTTATTTAACTCAAATCTGTCTCTGCACAGAGATAAGTTAATAATCATGTATGGATGTTTGCTCTGCCTTGATCCTGGAGTTACTGATGTAAATATTCAGGATCATAGGAAATTAATTAAATTTTGTCTTTAAGTGTTAGTTTTTTTAAGGATTTAAGTGATTCCATGTTAGATTTCATCACCAGCCGAAATCATTTAGGGTAACTTAAAATCAGGGAGCACGAGACAACTGTACACACCCATAACCTCACCAGTGATCGAACCCGAGACCTGAAGATTACGAGGCGAGCATTTCTTCATTCAGTCAGTGGGACAGATTCCAGTGGTCTACGAATTCTAATTTCTGCCAATATGCAGTATCTGCAGCTACTGTCAGTCAATGTTATCAATGAGTATCTGTCCCCACACCAGACGTCTTGAAGCCTATTGACCACGACTTCCCATTGAAACTCCAGTAACTCCACTCCGTAGTCATTCACTAATTGGCTTTCCTTTAAATTTTTCACCATGAACTTTCTTCTTCTTTGTCTTCGTTTTAGGTATTGTTTGTCTTGATCGATTAGAAGATATTTTGAAAATTGTTCAAGGTACTGTATTTCTTGCTGAAGCACGTTATATTGTACAGAAGTATATTGAACGACCATTATTGATATATAAGACAAAATTTGATATACGACAATGGTTCTTAGTAACTGATTGGGCACCATTAACTGTATGGTGGTATCAAGATTGTTATTTAAGATTTTGTTCTCAAGAATTCACATTGGATAATTTCAGTGAGTAAGTTTAACTCAAATTGTAATAATAAATACTGTTTAGTTTTTATGTTAAATGAAGTATTGAAGTGATTGTAATTTAATCTTGAATACTGGCACAATTCCGTAACGAAGATGAAGGTTATTCAAAATGAAAATACACGAGATTACACAAGTGCGCTAACTTGTTTATAGTCAATTCACGATTGAATTGGTGTTATCATACATAACAGTTTTTAAATTTAATTTATTCACAGTTTAGTGAAGCCATCTTTCTTTTTATCAACAAGATATCACCGAAAGGTAGATGCTTATACTCTTATAAAGTAGAATTTCCTACATGAAAACTGTTCACTAAGAAATATTACTGGTAAAATCAGTCAAATTAAAACTTTATAAATTTGAGATTTCCCAGAGTTCAGTTGAGAATTTGTGATCAACAGAGTTTGGCAAGTCAGTTGTGACAATTGACTGATCAGCTTAACGATATGGAACTTTGCAAAAAGTGAACTACTTCTTGCAACCTGTTCCCTTTATTAGTTTGAAGACAGAAAGAATGAACATGTTTGCAGGAATTTAATCTTGCAGACTCTCTCGCTATTCTGCAACTACTTCTGTAACGACAGAAGACAAGGGCCAGACAACAGATCGTTCATTGAGAAAATCAAGAGATATTTATAGATTTTTATGTACATTGTTATTAGAGTTATTGTTAGCAAAGAAGCAACGTCTTCTGATTGGTTGTTTTCTTGCTCAAGGTTATTCTGTACTGCTTGTGACCGTTTCTTAGAAAGTTAAGCCATATATCTGCGAACCGTATTTGCACACGTTAAGTCTTCTGTGATTGGTTGTTGAGTTCCTCAAGGTTAAGCCTAGTTATTGTTTTTTTCTCATGACCCCGATTCAGGACGTAAACATTGACGTAAATTGTTGTCTACAATTTTGGCTTGCAGACAGTTCTCACCACACTTCAACCTAACACACCTCGCAAAGGAAGAATGAAACAATAGCTGATATTCTACTTAGTCAGAGGAAATAATTTCAGCCACAAAAACCAATCTCTCACGTTTTACAAAATTTTATACGTCATTATTATCATGAAGCATAAATATAATGAAACTATAATGGATTGAGATACACAAGACTAGGAACAATTAAATGAAGGTTATTAAACATTTCAAGAATCCGACACACAGAGCAATAATTAAATAAGTACATCATTATAAGCGATTTTAGGCTACGTTAGAAATTCTCCACTCAGACAGTAAATCTACAATTCCCTACATAGTCCAAACCAACAGTCAATGACTTAATGGACACGTGCCATGTTTGAGTCTAATCACTCGTGACTCTTTCTCAAAGTAATTCTATTTCTCCTAATACTGATTTTATGGGAATACAGTGCCTTGGCATGCATGTTCTGGTCAGCCTAATAGACGGGGCTTCACACCCTTATCAACAGACTTTCTATCCTTATCTTAAACGTAAGCAATTGAATAAAACGCCTATAGAGAAACCGCTCGTCTTTTTCTAGCATCCTCCTCAAACGGATATGTTTCACAGCCATAAAGTAGTAACGAGAGAATGTTTGCACAGTAAAAGGTAATCAATTATTGCACTTGCATCAGAGATGACGAACAGGGAAGGGGTCAAACAAGCCTCTTTTGTCACTATTTCTGTCGTAAATAGTGTTGTAGCTGCAAGTGTTTGAGGATGTTAACTTGAGGAAATTTCTCGAGAATTTGAGGCTTTTGCAAAGCTGTTTGGTGTGCAGGTAGTCCTGTCAACACTTTCAGCAGGTTAGATGAAGGAGGCGGTATGAGTAAACATCATCAAGCAGATGACTTCGGAGTTCGACAGCAGGATAAATAGGCAGTAAACGGTGCAGTGAGTTAGGAAACTGAAACTCGATCCGCTTGTTTTGATGGTAGTGATGACTAATCTTCTTGGACGTACACTGAACAACTTGGAAGAGTATCTACAAGGGAAGATACAAACCTATCAATCCATAGAATACGTTCCTACCTCTTTAGCCACTCAGCTACTGTTAAGAAATGAAGTTCAACCGATGAACGTCAACTAGCTGGTCAAGGTCATGAGATATTTAGTGAGTTCGACAGTGATACCTTGAAAAAGCCAGAAAGAGTAATTGACGGATGGAAGAACTTAAGCGGCACGTGTTGGCTATTTAAACAACAGTGACACAGACTGTTTGGATCTACGACCAGGTTACTGGTGGTCACCAATGGAAGAAAATTACCGAGACAAAACATCCTTTACCATCAGCCAGCTACAATGCAAGTTTTTAAAAATGTCTTGTGGATTGTCATGTGCGTTACTAACATTCAAGAAAATAATGACTTCATTAAGGAGGAATTTGAAGAACTTAGAAGTATATGAACGTACCTCTACCTTCCTGTTTACTTTCTTGAAGTGTGGTGACGTAGGTTGATGAGCTTCTGCAAAGAAACCCTATTTTTTTAAGTCAGTCAGTCATTCAGTCTTTCACTATTCTGAGAATAAGTTAGATTTTTTAAAATCGAGTCTCACAATAAGTAATCTGATTCTGTTGACATACTAAGTGGTTTATTTTGCATAATTTCATACAATTCAATACGCTATTACACAATCACATCATTACTGTTGTTTCTTCTCTTAATACAACTACTATTGTTCTGTTTAGGGCAATACATCTTTGCAATAATTGTATACAACATAAATATAAAAATGGGCCTAGATCATCTGAATTACCAGATGAAAATATGTGGACATGGGAACAATTTCAAACATGGTTATGGTAGGTTGAATACAACACTTTTAAGCATGAATTATTGTGATTCTCTAGTTTATTGTAATCAGTATTAAAACCTATGTATGGATGAATTTGAATCAGACTGTAGAAGAAATTTCGACTTTTTCTGTGGAGATGTGTACGCAAGTAATACTTCAGAAAAATATATTACCGTAAAAATTTCTGCCTCAAATACTAAAGTTTCAAGCATAAAGCTATTGTAGCCTTCTCTACATTGTGTCAAACATTTTACTTAGAGCCCTCGTACTCCTTAATAGTCTATCTCCCTTCTAGTATATCATGTGTGGACCTTATTAGATGGATGTACCTGTATTCTCAATAAGTGATGGTGTTCCCACTGAGGCTCGGACGCAGTACCCATCATTTTAAATGCCACTGTACTGTCCTCTAGCCAAATCGACCGCGGGGTCTTCCTTTTATATTTCTTATTTGTTGAAATTGTTGTTTTGGATTTCTCTGTTGACTGTGACAAAGCATTTCGATCCAGTCGAATCAATCAAATCCCTTCAGACCTCACACTAGTCCTCAACTAGTGACTGACTACATGGTGAAGTTGCCTGAAGTTCTAGTAAGAAGTCACAACCAGTGGGATCCACCACTGATTGGGTGCGAGGACAAATACTATCTAATGACACTGGCTGGTGATCGTGCTATATACATCACGAAGTGGCAGATGTTAGGACTCATGAAGTGACCATTAGATTTCATCTTAGTGACTGGATGGTCAACGACATCGCCATGTAACCTGAAGGTCCTTGGTTCGATCCCTAGAACAAAACAGGTTTCCAGTACTCCTTGCTGGGTTTTTTCATGGGTTCTTTAACTGAAGTCATCTTGTGATCAAACTTGGAAAATTCGAAACAACAACTTGAACAGATCAAGTGAAATAAGTCTGCTTTATGATATTCTGAACTTAAGATTACCCTTTATGAAATGATGAAAAAAATGTAGGGTCTTCGAAAGTTCCAATCAGTCTCTGAATGTTAATGTGAGGTGTGTAAGCAAATTTGGATTTTTGGACTTTAATCATTCGATTAATTAGTAGTAATGACATTGCCGGTGAGATAACACTTTCAGCAGGTAACAGTAATACAAATGGATCTGGTCTTACTCTCAAAATTTCTGTTAGTTTTTACTTGTTTATTTACACCTCTCCACTCCTGACGTTAGTTTTTACCTTAACAACAAGAAAAACATGACAAAGAAAGCGGAAAAGGACTACTCACTATCCGTAAACAAGAAGCCTCTTTATATAACGACTTCAATTCAAGGGCAATGTACCAAGCGAAATAATTACGAAGAAACTAAGAAAATCAGTTCAAAGAACTTTTAATGCTGGCGAACTACACGTCTTATTTTCTACACGACCGATGGTGATTCCTCGACTGAAAGATGAAGTACCTAGACTAGCCACTTCAAATTGTATCTACCAATTCAACTGTGCTTGTGGAGCGAGTTATATCGGCCGCTGCTCTAGGAACTTGATTTTTCATGCTCGAGAACATCTCCCAGTATGGCTAAGTAAAGGTTTAGTAAAAACCACCAACAGTTCGATATTAGACCATCTGGTGCAAACCGGCCACAAGGCCAGCGTTGAAGAATCCTTCTCTATCATCTACCGTGTGCCTAATAAATTTCCAAAAACATCGAAGCACCGCATGCTCCAAACAGCAGAGGCTATTGCAATTCGCGTGAAACAACCAGTGCTCTGTGTGCAAAAGAAGCAAGTCCAGCCAGCCACTACTACTGCCCTGGCCGGCGTTCAGTGGAGACTATAAATTCATGAATTTGTATTATTATCTTTCCTAATTTTTCTGACATTCAGTTTATTGTTATGTTGTTGCTATCCAACTGTAATCCACTGATGTTAGTATTATTGATTCGATGTTATTTAAACAACATTAATGTTGTTCATAACACTAATTCATTCATTCACTATAATGTGTATATATAACTGCAGAGCCTGATGATGAAGTTATTGAAAAGAGTATTCTTTGTTCAGTATCCATTCTTCTGAAAACTTGCTAATAATTATTTCTTCTCTTTTGAGGCGTGGCATTTTGAATTATTATTTGACCTAGACTAAGGTTGAAAAGCCTATGAATTGGTTTAACCGGTGAAAATCTGCTGTAAAACATACGCTGAAATTATATGATGAAAAAGATGAACAGTGGAGAAATAAATACTGAATCAAATGCTTTAAATGACTGTTTGAATTTTTAGACCCAACCTTAACTTCACTGAAGGTAATCCGTCATCTGAGCTGTCCCAACTGTTTTTTAAGGAATTCTTTCAATAAGTAGGTTGATTGGTCTGAAGCAACTAATAGTTTAATAGTAAATAAATGGTAGAGGCTGTAACAGCCTACAAAGCCAATAAAGTATTTTTGAGGATAATATTGTGTTGCTTTCACAAGGGGGAATGACTGAAAAAATTCAATTTTAGGATGGTAAACGCCACTTGTCCTACATAGTGTCATCTTAGTGTAAATGTAATAATTTGTATTCATTTCAGCTTTTCTTCTATTGTCTTGTCACGTCTGACCACTTTTCATTATTCTAACTCTATAACCCTTTCGCTTAAGGCATAATATTGCTTGGTCCACTGTAAATGGTATCCAAATATTAACTTTATTGTAAGTGTAGACTAAGTAAAGATGAGAAAAGCAACCGGTTTTATTGGTTGATGAATCTTTGATCCCATGTCTTAAATGTCAGCTACTCAGTATACCCTTAAAGGTAAACAATAGGAAACGCCCTTGAACATATAATTTCTCAAGTAGTTTTATCCACTCATTCATATGAAGATCAGATGGCAGGCCAGGGAAGACTAACAACAAAGAACTCTGGTTGGCAGTGAACCAACGAAGAAACCATCGTCAATTAGATATGCCAAAGAAACTGGGAATGCATCGGATACACTCTGAGGCCAGGCCTTCCAGTGGAACCCGAACAAGAAACTATGAGTTGGTCCGTCGCTTCGAGGGTTACATGGAGGAGATCTTGTGAATAGGAAATGAAAGACTATGAGTAATTGTACAGCCAGCTAAAAATGACTATACAGAACTTGATGAAATAAAGATGTGTTGTTGAAGCCCTATGTTCCACTCGGAACTCAAGGGAATAATAAGTAATAATACCCATTTATAAGGTCAATCTGTTCTTTTCCGTAAATGCGAATTTTTCCCATTCAACATAATGACTTGGTAAGCTTTTTCAGTGGTATGATGATATCTAATGCCTGCCATTATCGAATCAATTGAACACTATTTCTCTATTTTCTTTGTTCAATTAATCTAGTAAACAAGGACATCCAAATATATGGAAAGAAAAAATTCAACCGTCAATGAAAAATGCTGTTTTGAATGCATTACTATCTGCACAGGAATTAATAGAGCCTAGAAAAGTAAGTTATGTGTTATCTGATAGTTTAAAATATCCCCCAATATCATGAATTAAATGTCAGTGTGAACGAAGAATACTCTTTTCGCATTGGTGTGTAGGTACCTAAGTGGTAGAATGCTCGCCAACCATGCAAAACATCCAATTTCGACTCCTGGCCGACGGATTACTAAACCTCATATAGCCAGTAGGAAGTCCATCAAACAGGGAAGGTTGGGTGTACGGCTGGCAACCCTACTACATAAAAACGACTCAACTGCTAATGGAACTGCAAAGCTCAAGTTTGAGGTCTTACTTTATCGCCGGAATGAGCCTAGTAGGTATACAGCGGATACATCTAACTTAGAATATGATTACGGATTTAAAATCAGACGGGTTTCAAGTTGTAGGGTGTGTATAAACAACTCTTCTTCACTGTAAGTTTGCCATATTGGTTGCTGAGGATGTAAGTTTCCTTCGAGTTCTAAACGGTGCAACCACAGAGAAAGAGAAGACGAAATGTCAGCTAACACACGTATACTTTATTTCCTGATCAAAAAAGCGTATTCTCGAAAAACTTGTACGAACAAGGGATATACACAATGTTTTAATAGGGAGGAATATTTTTTTCAAAACTTTTATTGAGAACTGTAGAAAATCATCTTTCTGAACTCTAAAGACTTTTGACTATTTTTCCCTTGTACTTAGATTGTTGTTTTTTTTCAACCAGTTAACTTACATTCTTTTGAACTTCAGTAAGTGATGTAACTTAGAGTAAGTTGAACCAACCTTCAGTAACTATCATACTAACAAAGTTATCATCATCACTGATTCCACAGGAAAATAACTTCTTCATTCTCTATGAATATATGATAAGTGCAGCTAAGTGTGGCAAGTGTAATGACAGTAGCTTACTAATAAAAATAAAGTAAATCAAAATTTCACTAGCAAAAGTTGAAGAAGGGAATATAACCCACTGATTGATTGATAACATGCTCATTAAAAAGATCAGCTGTCATGGACTCAATGATGCATTATTATTATTGTTTCCTTTAGTTCCTAGAGGAACATAGGGCTTCAGCCGAACGTCTCCATTCCGTTCGGTTCTCCGACAACGTTTTCACCTGGCTCCACGTCTGCCCACATGTTTTCATCTTCTCTTCACATGACCTCCTCCATGTCACCCTCACACTGACGACCAACTCGCCGCTTCCCTTTCGGGTTCCACTCGAGCGATTGCCTGGCGTGTGATGTCACTCACGTGATGGTTCGTTTTCTAGAGTATGGCCAATCCACCTCCATTTCTTCCTGCATATTTGTTGCACAGTTGGTTCCTGCTGGATTGGTTCGTTCATTGGCAGAGATCCCTGTGTTGGTGATCTTTTCTGGCCGGCCATCTGATCTTGAGAGTATTGAGCGAAGACAGCTGTTGATGAAGGTCTCTAGTTTGTTCGAAGTGGCATTCGTGACGCGGTGCCAAGTCTCTGATCCGTATAGTAAGTATCACTGACTTCACATTGGAGTTGAAAATCCACATCTTATTTTCATTTTCATGCTGAAGTGCTGTTGATCTCCACACAGACTTGAGAGAAATGAAAGCTTGCCCTGATTTCCCGATCCTCGCTTTGATATCCTCATCAGTTCCGTCCACCTGTAGTTGAAACGATGCTTCCCAGGTAGGTAGGTAGGTAGGTAAGGAGGTTGCTTCTTTCAGATTTCTCCCATTTATGCTGATTGTTGTCTGTTGCTGTTGCTGTTGGCCAGGAATCTTCATCATCTACCTCTGTTTTCTCCATGTTCACCTGAAGTCCTATCTTGTCTGGATGCTTCTTCTGCCAACTTGTTGCTTTTCACTTGCACATCCTCCAGTTTGTGGCAATGATGCATACAAGGTGATATTCGACTTTTATTGGTCCTCTAGTTGATGTCAATTTTATGGTGTAAATTTGTCTTTTAGTGATTTCTCAAAGTGAATTATGCATGGTAGGGTGTCAAGTTTGATCATGTAATGATATCAGTTAGAGAACCATTGAAAACCAGAGAGCATTGGGACCCTTCAGCAATACGCACTGATGACACCACAAGGGGTCACACCTAGAACTTATGGGTTACAAGGCGATCTCACTGACCATTCAGCCACTGGGTGCTAATCCAGTTGCCCACGGATTCTAACTTCTACTAATTCGCGGACTGCTGAAAAGTCTCAAACTAGGGCGAAACAGCTGTCCAGTACTCTATGGTTTTCACTGCTTCTCTAATTGATATCAATCCGTGATCAAAACTGAAACCAATCAAATCCCTATAAACTAACACTTGAAAGTAGTAGGGTGTGTGGAATTTAAAGTACATTTGATAAAATGTATTAACCTCTTATTTATGTTTATGAAAGTTGTTTGCAATTCGACGAACTTATAAGGTCACCTTGTAATAATATGCATATTTTTATTGCCTACCATAAACAGCATTCATAACTTTAAGCATATTTACAAGACAGAAGAATGTCGTAGACAAAAAAGGAGAATTAATCACTTTATTTATTTATTTCTATTAGAATAAACAAATAATGTTAACTTTTAATTGAAAATTGAACATAAGCAAAATTAAGAAGTTACCACTAGTTACTAAGGTCATTTAGTTAGAAAAACAAAGAAACAACGTCTATTTCAAATTATAAATTTTAATAGTCTAACTTTTATTTTTCTAAGGTGTTTCCTCTTTTTCTTAGACATCATCACCATTTTTTAATATTGTTAACTTTTCTTCCCTTTATTTTATTTGTTTATTCGTTAAAGTAAAGAGGATTTATTAAGTTCAACTTTCATTGAGAACTAGAAGAAGTTAGAATTCATGGGTCATTAGATTCTCTCCCAATGAAGGAAGGTCCTGGGGTTCGATCCCTGGCTGTGGAGTCTTGAATGCCTACTGAAGAGTCCCAAACAGGGACAAAACAGCTCTTCAGATCTCTCTGGTTTCTAATGGTTCTCTAACTTAAGTCAGTTTGCGATTAATCTAGGTTCAGTCTTATGTGTCAGTTTCTAAACAAACTGGTCAGCGACAACAGTTACTATCTTCGTGTAGTTTTCCAGTAATTGTTTTGATTCTTACTGTCATACCATCACATCTTACTGACAGGGCTTAAAATGTCAGTCGCCGCCTCGTTTTTATTGAATCGGTTCCGTTTTATCTCCCCTCGACATCTGATGGGGAAATCTATCAGAAAGGAATAGTATATTAATATTTGATTAATCCTGCCGCATTGGACTAATATTGTTTAGGTAACGTTTCCATTGTCATTCTGGCTTTCTACTGTTATTTCTTAGTTTGTATGTAAGTGTGTGTGTGTGTCTTTAATCTTGGTTTCTGAATAAAGCAGGCTAATCAGATTATGTCTATTAATATCCAGTTCCTTTTTGAAAGTGTTCACTGAATTCACTAACAACTTCAGGTGTTCACCTTACTATAAAAGAATCTAAATTACATCTTTTAGTTTATTTGACTGTGGCTTCTATCAGTCCTAGAAACAGGTGTAGGGTTATTAATTGATTGTATATGCCGCAGCAAAATTGTTTCTCTTCTCCGGATATGATGATGGAATTAGGTTTAAACTTACCGACCTCTTTTTATGGAAGATGGCGATGATGTCTTATCAGTAAATTAATACCTATTCTTTTTAAAATTCCCAGAGTGGACTTCGTAAAATGAGGATTAACTGATATAAGGATAGAACTTGAGCACTGTGGTAAAGTATAATTCTATTAGGAATAAAATTTATTTTGATAAAGTCCCACAGTGTTATACAGTAGTATTTACTGATGACGTTTCGAGCATAATTTATTGCTCATAATCATATCAAGGTACTCGCACAACTTTCTGACTTCGTTTATATACACTCATGTATTTAAACGAAGTCAGAAGGTTATGCGAGTATCTTGATATGATTATGAGCAATAAATTATGCTTGAAACGTCATCAGTAAATATTACTGTATAACACTGTGAAACTTTATCACGCGCCAAGTCTCTGATTCGTAGCACTGACTTCACATTGGAGTTGAAAATCCACATCTTATTTTCATTTTCATGCTGAGTGCTGTTGATCTCCAAACAGGCTTGGGAGTAGTGAAAGCTTTCTCTGATTTCCCGATTCTCACTGCTTTGATATCCTCGTCAGTTCCGTCCGCATGCAGTTGAGACGATGCTTCCCAGGTAGGTAGGTATGTAAAGGAGGTTACTTCTTTCAGATTTCTCCCACTTATACTGATTGTTGTCTGTTGCCGTTGTTGCTGTTGTTTTCGCTGTTGCTGTTGGCCAGGTATCTTCATCAACTCTGTTTTCTCTGTGTTCACCTGAAGTCCTATCTTCTCTGGATGCTTCTTCACTTGCATATCTTCCAGTTTTTGGGAAATCAGACAGATATCATTGGGGAAGTCCTGATCCTCCAGGTTTGTTTTTCGTGCCTGTCTCCTCGCTGCCCGCTAACTCTCTGTCGCGTTATCCAGTCTACCACCCACAATCAGGAAAATCATTGGAGATGGTAAGTAGACAGCCAGCCAGCCAGCCTTGTCTTACTCCCATCTTCACTTCGAAGGATTCCGTGAGTTTCCCGTTGTGGATTACTTGGCATGCAGTATTGTCGTACAACTGTTGGATGAGGTGTATAATTGTTGGTGGCACCCCTTGGTGGTAGCGAATTAGTTTCCAAATCACCTCTCGATCGACGCTGTCTGCTGAAGGCCTTTTCAAAGTCGATGAAGTTGAGTGAGGTAGAGAGCTGACTGTCATTCCAGTCTGTGTTCAATGATGATCCATAGTGTTGCTATTTGATCGATGCATGACTTGTTTCTCCTGAATCCAGCCTGTTCCGGTCGAAGTTTTTCATCCAGAGCGTGTTTGATTCTCTCCAGGATGATGTGACTTAGTAGTTTGCTTGGGATGGACAGGAACATAATGCTGCACCAGTTCTTGCATTGACCTAGGTCCCCTTTCTTTGGCAGTTTGAATAAGTAGCCTTTCTTCTAGTCCGCTGGTACCTTTCTTTCTTTCCACACCTTCTCCAGTAGTGGTGTCATCAACTGGGCTGATATCTCTGGGTCCATTTTCAATGCTTCTGTGGGGATTCCGTCTGGTCCTGCTGCTTTTCCAGGTTTCAGCATCTTGATTGCCTTCAGAATTTCTGTTTTCGTCGGAGGGTTGATGTCCACTGGTAGTTCTGCTTCTGCTGGTGCTATTATTGGGCGCGTTGCAGGTGGTGGTTGATTTAGATGTCTTTTGAATTGTTCAGCCCAGTGTTTCCTTTGCTCCACCTCTTTGGTGATTGACTTTCCATTGTCATCCTTCACTGGCTTGATTTGTGTTGATCTCTTCCCGATAGGAACCTAGTTGTTTGGTAGAGTGTTGCGAGGTCTCCTTTGCCTGCAGCTTGTTCTGCTTCAAACGCCATAGCTTCATAATATTCTCTTTTGTCTTCCCTGGCACTCTTCTTTACTCTTTTGTTCAGCATATTTTAGCTTGCATTCAACTCCTGTTTTTGTTACTCGTCGGTGCACTGGATAATCTTTTGTTTTACCATCCTCCTCTCTTCTATAAGTCTCCATGTGTCTGTAGTGAGCCACTGTTTGTCCTGTCTCTTCTTTCTGCCTAGAACTTCCATGCAGGTTTGACTCCACACCACTTTCAGGCTGTTCCAGTGCTTTTCGACGCTGGTCTCTTCGCTAGTGTTGTTTTGTATCTCCGCCTTTTTCCTTATGATTGCAGTGAAGATGTCCCTTGTATCCTGATCCTTCAGTTTTGGAGTATTGAACTTGGCTTGTGGTCTATCCGCAGCTCCTGTTTCTTTGAAAGTTTTTAATTTGATTTGGAGCATTCCTTGTGCGAGATAATGGTCTTAGCCGACGTTTACCCCTCTTCTTACTTTTGTGTCCAGTAAGCTGCGTCTCTACTTCCTTGAGCAGCATTGAGATGAAGTCAATTTGGTCTTTGGTTCGCCCGTCTGATGATGAAAGTCTGTAGCCTATTGGAAATGCTTTTCGTGACATGCGCACCAATTTCTGAACCATATAGAAGCCCTAAATGTGTTTGGAATTCTGACCTTGTTACTTATGTTGACTGCAGTAGATTACGACATTGATTTCAGAGTAATGAAGGTCCGTCTTGCTTTTCCAATCCTACTTTTGACGTCTTCATTCCGTTCCGCCCGTATCTAAAAGGACACTGACTAGGTAGGTGAAAGAAGTGACTACCTTTTCATCACAGAGAATATACGATACTGCGCCTCTGGTTTACTCTGTTATTTTAATCATATCCAAATTGAAATTCATATATTATGTGAAATACGAGTAAAACAAGCCATCATCATAAATGCAGAGCAGTTGCACATTAAACCTGCGAACGATTACACATTATTTTCCATGTGAATATTTAATATAATCACCAATGATAGTAGCTGGCAGTTAGGATATACATAACGAAGGGATAGAATTGGAAATTCGTGGCGTGATTACATTCCATACATGTAACTGAATGATACAAGAGTTCATATAGTAACCTGAAGGTCCTGCATTCAATTTCTGTCAGGGTCATTGGTGCACGGCTCAAGAGTCCTAGACTAGGATGTAATAACTACCTAGTACTGTCTTGTTTTCAGTGATTCTTTAGAATTACAGTGCATTTTTGATCAATAATTCGAATTTAAAGTAACCAATTAGAAGAAAACATTATTTGACCAAAATTTAAAGGATGCAACAAATTTATTACTAACTGGTGTTTTACTCATATTTTATTTCGTTTTTACTTAGAATTGTTTTGGTCTGTATGGTGCAGATTTTCTTTTAACCGCGGATGACTTCAGACCATGGCTTATTGAAATCAATTCAAGTCCGTGTATGTCGCCAAGTACATCTGTAACAGCTGTTTACACAGCTAATGTTCTGGAGGATACACTTAAAGGTAATATACGCAGGATACTTTCTATTTACTACAATTCTGTATAATTTCTATTTTAGAATTTATTTTATGTCAGCATAGTCCGCGTCTAGAATCGATTATTGCCCGAATATCTATGCTGTCCTAGTTCAAGACCTTTTATCAGAGTTAATCTGTAAACCCAAACAATATGTATATGTATGGTTTTTCTTTCCCTTGCGTTCCAAGTGGGACATAGAACCTCAAGGTTTGGAGTTTCAGTAGTGACGGTGTTGCTTTTGTTATGGGGACCTTAACTCTTTCCTCTGCTTACTTACTGCTCAACAAACTAGGCGACGTTTAGGTAAAATGAGAATCTGGATAACAGCAGATCTCTAAACACCCCCCCCTGGACTGCTAGTTTGTATGACTTGCTCATCAAAATATCTTTTGATTTCTACAAAACACGTATTAAAACAACTGAAAAATATACGCAAAATGTCATATACTACTGATTATTCAATATGAGTAGTTGGATAGCAGTCACATCAACCAGTAGTATACTTCACAGCCAGATCTAAGTGATCTAAACAGTAGAAGGCCGTATCTGTTGTTTGGAGACGAACTTATCAGCAATGTACCCGCTCTGACTCAGCTCAAGGAGCCAAATCAGTTGAAACCACCGGAATTCCGGATAGATACTTGGGTGAACTGGTAATACATTAAATGGAATTCACAGTTTGCAATTTAACACCCTTTCTAGGTGAAATTCTACCACAGTTCCCTTTGGAAGTTGAAATTATTCAGATCACAATATATGATCTGCTTGATACTACGAAGGGCGATTAAACAGCCGAATTGGTTCGCCTCTCTGATCTGAGTTAAACCGTGTACACTATTGATTAGCTCTGCCCCAAAAGGAGCGAAATGGCCGTTCGGTGTTTAGATCTCTTAGATCTGGTTGTTAAGCCCTACTGATCAATATAAATGGAATCCAAATACTCATATGAATCAGTCGTCGCCATGGATTTATGTCTACTTTTTTGACTGCCATTTATAGTATCAAACAGGTCACTTATCGTGATCTGCAGAATTTTGGTTTCTAATGGAAACTGTGGTGAAATTTCATCTAGAACTGTGTGACTAGCAAGTAGAGAATTAGTCTGCAGACTGTAAATTTGATTGGAAAATATAGTTTCAAAGTAGACTAATAAGTGTTTTCAATATGAAAATAATAATGATGATGGAATAACTAAATTTAGCCATATTTCTGTAACAACAAACAATAAAACAATGAAGCAATGACTGATATTTATTGGAAGCTGTAATTTTCCGTTGTTAGATCTTAATGAACTGAGATGATCGATCCTGACCATATCTAGCTAAATCAAACAACAGAACATTGAAACTTGACATTTGTTATACAAAAGTTGATTGCCACGGCCGGTCAGGCTGATAGATATTGCCTTGAATTTTGTCACAGTAATTTCTGGGTTCTATTCACAGTGAGAACACTACTACTCACTGGGATGCAAACACTTCCAGCCAGTGAGTCCCAAATAGGACAAAACAAGCATCCTAGATTCCAATACCAGCAAATAACATTTTTTTATTCCTTTATGTTCCCAGTGGATAATAGGGCTTCAAGCAAGAGCTTTGAAGTTTCGGTAGTAGTGGTGTCTATTTTTACGGGATGGGGTTGCTAGGCTCATGCCTAACCTTCCCTCTTTACCAGTCTTATTACCACCGGCTTAGCTAGGTAACGGAGTGCGTCAATGGCCGGGGATCGAACCCCGAACCACCTGCGTGGTTGCCAAGGATTCTACCGCTGTGCCACCGACTCACCAAATAACATTAATGATTGATAATTAGAAGAAATGATTAGTTGTAAAGAATTTGGATGAGGGGACCACTGGATTTCTATTTCAGTGTATTTTAAGGCATTTTTTGTTTAGCTTTCATACTTAAAAACTAGTAAATTATACATTTTAAATAGTGATACACATGTAATATAAACTTCAGAAGTTTTCAGACCAAACTTTTTCCAGATTTACTGATGAGATTCGTTGAGTAAATCGATATGCTTACTATGTACTACTTATTGATATGAGTAATTAGCAATGACTTATACCACTTAGTGGTGCTCACCTGACCGACTATCGTGATTTAAAAACCTGTGTTTCCCTCATCTAAGTCTGAGTTGATCATTAATTTGTCGCGAGGGATTCAGCTGAGATAAATCATTAAAATGCTGACCAGCTCTATGTGAACAATCTTACGACACAGAATTGAATCAAAGTGGTATATTAAGAAGCCTGAATGCAGTCTGTTTAAGTGACATTTTTGGTTATATTAGACAGTTGGGAGACATTCGGCAGGAAGCCTTGAACCTAGGTTTCGTGCTAGTTGGCACTAACCAGTCAGCAAGGCGTATCTGCAACCTTGAAGGAACTCATGTCCCTTCTGAGATTCGGACCCGCCTCACCCAGTGCTGCAGTCAGGGACGTTGCCATAAATGAGCTATTCGGGCTCGCGATTGACCTCCTTTAGGACTGTAGTGGATACTTCGATTGGACACTAGTAACTAGTGCGATGTGCCTAGTCCTTTCTTCGGTGCAGACTGAATATCATCAAATCACTGTGCACCGTGAGGGCGAGCTACCTCGAATGGTGCCCACATTGCAAACCTGACTGACTGATAGAATTCAATCTGCACCGAAGAAAGGAATAGACATATCGTACTAGCTATTAGTATCCAATCCAAATGACATTTCTGGTTATCAAGCAATTATTACTTCTAAATTCATTGAACTTCTTCTATAATTGAGGAAGTATTTTCTTGCATTACTGAATATTATTTCTCGATGACCTTTACCTTATCACTAGTATAGTGTTGTTTCTAGTGATAGGATGAACTTTTTAATACATAAACTTATAAATTCAAATAATTTAAGTGTTGGCACACCTGATAGGTAGGTGTATTCAGGGATTAGTACTAGAATGTGAGAAGACAAGAATACTTTGTGCCGACAAGAAAACACTAGAAGAATCATATTTCGTGGACAATTTATCTCTAATGTCACACAAACTCAAACATCTACAAGCAAAAACCAGTAAGTTAGCAGAAGAAGCAGAGCAGACAGAGGCGATGAAGGTGCCCAACTACCAGCAGGCACCAATCATTATCAGCAGGGGAAATTTGAATAAGGTCATTCCTTTCCCTTATTTGAGTAGTATCCTTTCAACTACAAGTGGCGTGGATGAAGATATCAGAGACAGCAACGAAAAGGCAAGACAAACCTTCATTAATCTGAAATCTTTGTGGTAATCTACAGCACTAGAACGGGATTGAGACTTTCAAAACTAATGGCAAGTCAGTACTTCTTTATGATTCAGAAACTTGGCATGTCACCGAAAAGGCTTCAAACTTTCACCATCAGGTGCCTTCACTGGCTCCATATTGAAGATGAGACAGCCAGCCAGCGGAAAGATTAGTAACAAGGAACTATGTCAAGTAACGAAACAACCAGCAAACTATCGCCAAACAAATATGCATAAGGAATTGGAGACGGATTGAACAAACACTGAGGAAACTACTGAGTGACATCTTATACCATTTCATGGTGTGGAACCGAAATGGGAAACGACTAGTTGGGCGTGGGTCTGAGATTGACATATAGGGATTCGTATGAGGAGGAGATAAGTGCTTATAGGAAATCGTGGAGCCAGCTAAAAACGACTGCAAAGAACATGACGAAATGGAGATGGGCTGTTGAAGCCTTAAGTTCCATTCGGAACCTAAGGGAAAAATAATAATGCAATACTAGGATGTACACTAAGTGTCCAGTTCCTGTTTATTGATGAAATATATCGACAGAAGGTTGAAGTAGCCATGTGATCGCCGCTTGACCCATTGTCTACTGACTACTTCATAGCATACCTGGATTCGAGTACTCTGAAATCAGCTGTAAATCAGTTCAACATCTACAGGCGATATACGGATGACGCTTTCATTCCAGTTTAAACTAGAATAAATTGGTTATTAAATGTCTCACTCAGGATGGAAAGGAATTATTTAAAAAAAATCGTATATTCAGCCTTTAAAAGATTATCATTTGGATGATAAACAGAGCTTCTATTAGGAACTAGGAGGTTTTCTTACAAAATTTTCAAGTAGTGAACCTATGTAATACTCTAACGCTTCTTTAAGCATTTATTTCTTGAACGTACCATTTTTTGTTTAAATTAGCCCGGTTTACTATGATGGGCAGCCTCAAGGTCACTGGTTTGTTGTTTCGTCTAGGTCACCATTCTTTAACTTCTCGTCCAATAAGATTTCACTGATTATCATTTTTGATGATATACTCTATTATTAAAAGTTATTCTATAAGAAATGACTCTACTTCACTGTAAGTCTGCTGGAACATGAAACTAAGCAGTTTCTCTTTTTCTGTAAATTCATCCACCGTGCTGTTATATTAAATTTGGATGGAGGATTTCATCATGAGCTGACACCAGTTAGAGAACCACTGGAAAACCTGGGAGTACTGGACAGCTGTTTCGCTCTGGTTTGGGACTCTTCACCAGTACGCACCCACCGGGATCGGATCCCAGTGGCTCAATGGTCTACGAGCTCACTTTGTAACCAGGAGATCCTGGGTTCATCCAATCAAACTAAATCCCTACAAAACCAATACTTGTATATTAAATTTGTTTGATGGAAGATTCCTAATTTTGAAGTGAAACAACAGGCATTGAATTTACCCTTTCAAATCTTGAATATCATAAGATGAAACTACTTTGAAATTGCTAATCACAAAGTAACATACTTTAATTTTTTAGAATTTTGTAAAAATTTTTTATTATAGCTTGATTCCACACAGTATTTTTGGTTTTCTTTTTCTTTTTACTAGTTGTTTTAGATAGAAAATACAGTCGAAACTCTGATGTAGGACGTTTTGAACTACTGTATAGACAACATTTTCATGCTTCATCTAGCCTGTACACAGGTATGGAGTTGTATGTGACTGGTTCACGGATTGTTAAACCACAACAACAACAACAGCTGGATAGTACAACTGCATCTCGTTGTTTTTGTTTGAATAAAACAACACCCAGTCTCGATCAACAGACAGTATCAATTCCAGAGATCAATATCACTGCAACATCTGTCAATGATAATGGAGTTTCTTCTCCTGTTATTGTGTTAGTTATTTAACTTCTAACTAATGTTTACACTGAACTGTGCTTAAGTCTGTATTTCATATTTCAGGTATAAGATATTTTAGGAAATAGGTGAAATAGGCGTCCCTTGTTTAGATCACTTCAAGTTAACTAGCAGGCATTACTGGTGGTTACTGTGAGTAATATACAACTACTCATCTGAGTCAATCAGTAGTGTACATAGTGTCATGCACTTTGCTAAACGACTACTGATTTGAAAGTGAATTATGTCATGAGTTAAAAACACCCAGAGAAGCAGTAAAAATCAAGGAGTATTGAACTATTACTTCATTCTAGTTTGAGATACTTTATCACTCCTAAGACAGAACTGCTAGTGGGATCAAATGCAAGTGTATTAGGGTTCTCAGTAAGCCTGTTTTCATCCATCCATCCATTCTCTCTACCATCTAACTGCCTTCTATCCGATTCCATATGTGATCATAAGCGATTATCGTCAAGATGTCTTGAAGGTAAGATGAAATAGTTTTCCTCTGCTCAATGGCTTTTAATGACTCTCCAAGTGATTTTGAATCATGATGAAATCTCTCCGACACTTCTCTTTTGATGTTAGATGGTTGGTCGGTCGGTTTTCAACATAGAACTTTGCACTGATGTGCGGTAGATCAAGTCGCCACACTCCCTCCATGTAGCACACAAAGCAAGAGAAGAAAGTAGGAGAAATGCATAATATAGACAGTAAACAGAGGTGTAAGACAAAGGAATAGTAATAACGAAGAACAAAACAGTTTAATTGGAAATCATAAGTCACAAGGAGTGGATGCATCTGCGCTAGCAGCCATTGAGAACGATCACTTTGAGCCATGTCACCAATTGTTTCCAACCATTGGTTTTTACCGTCCCGAGGACCCCAACCAGTTAGGAAGTCTACACCTCCCTACGTGGCTTAGACTAACTGTTGTGGATTTCATTGACTGGTGCCATGTTCTGGTTTGACCACCGCTAGCTCTTTCCCAGCCTGGCCCTATATATATATATATATATATATATATATATTAGATGGTTGGAGGCAATCGGGAGGAAACCCTGGAACTAAGTTTCATGCTTATTGGTACTCATTAGCAAGCCGTATCTGCAGCCTTGATGAAACCAATCCCCCCTCCCTCGGGATTGGAACCCATATTACCCAATGCTGGAGTCAGAGACCATCTAATATCAATTCAGAGTGAACTGCAATGGTGAGCCACTTAGCTTGGTGAACACATCTAGTCTGCACTAACACTAAGGAGTATACGCATGACACTGGTGGCTCTCTGGTAACCAATCCATGTATACTGTTCTGTATTTTTTGACTTTAAAGGCTATCTGTGACTGAAGTTCAACCTCTTTGACATTACCATAATATGATATTATTACTAAAACGCGTGGTGTTTGAAGTTCATTATTGTTAGTCGTAGTTCCTTCCTAATCAGCTGTGGGATTGAGATCAGCTAGTATACAGTTATGAAGGTCCACATAAGAAAGACAGCTTTACAAACTGGGCTGTCTAATTGCAGTGAATGAGGTTGTGTAATTCATGAGCATACATATAATGGCATATTGTGAGAAATACTGATTTGAATGTGTCCATTTGGTGGCTATCTATAAGGCATGAGTTAACGGTGTACTTATGTTTCCATTTACCTCAGTGTGGTGGTGGGACATGCATATATTAACGAATGAATTTTTAGATGGATAGTAGTTAGATTGAAAGTGGTTTTCATCATTGCCCTCTACAGGGGGGATCCCAGGGTAGTCTTACTGCTGATAGAAAGGAGTTAAGCAGCAAATTTTGTTTCTGTTGGACACCCAATAAACTAGCCATGTCGTCTTGCCGAAATTGTAATAAAGGGCAAGAAAATATTGGCTCCAAATTTGTTCCTGTCAACTTACTCTACAGAGGCTCGTACCCAGTGGTAAGATTTTCCATACTGGCAAGATGCTGTGAACTTTTTCACCAGAAGAAACATTTCGTCTAACTGGCAGTTGTCCTCTGAGCAGTGTATTTAGGCAGAAGTACTTCTATTTGTTTTTCAAGAATTCGAAGAAGAAATAGACTTACACCATGTTGATACACAGGAATTAACAATCGTCCGCACGCTTCAATAAACATACAACGTTGTTCTGCTTATCATTTTGTTTTTAAATTTTTTTTAGACTTTAATCCCACTACTACTCTGTTTCATCTTCCCTGAGCCCTGTAACTGTTGTTAACAATGTAGTCCAGTGAAACATCTTTTCTAGTCTCCTAAATCCACACTGACTGCTTCATGCTGGTGCTTTCAACTATAAAGCTGTTATCAAATTTGAGAACATGGTCCGACAGACAAAACTCTAGAATATTAGGCTTTGGATACTTGTTGCATCTCAAAGACACGTGTACAAAATCCAAGAGCAATGATGCACTTAAGCCCACCTAGCCACCACAGTGAATCTACAAAATTCACTCTATGAATGTCAGGAGATTCTTTGGTTAGTTGTCGTAGACTTGCTAGTATAGGATTAATGTTGAGGTTAAAGACAAAAAGCCCATCGCTCGGTAAAGTACTAGCAGAAAGTCGTCTGTATGTTCTCCAACTGAATAAATCGATAAGAATCAGGCGAAATTATGATATTTATCAGAGCTTTTTTGTAATCTCTGATTATGCACCCATCAACTACGTTTGAGTTGAAGTGAAGGATCAGTTTTACCAAGCAAAATGATCAAAAATAGTCGAGTCTTAGTGGAAACACCATTACTCACTGGGTATGCAGATACATCCAGTCGGTGAGTTCCAAACAGGAATGGATGTGCATCCTGGATTTCACTACTAGCCACTATCCGCCAGATAACGTAACACCTAATTCATGTTTGCATACAGCTCACTAGAAACCGTTTATGCATGACCAGCTGACTTTGAACATCATTTCGTATTGGTTTACTTGTTAGCGCTTTAAAACGATCGAATTTCAAACCCTTCACTGATAGTATCACAACTAAAGAATTGTTCTCACTAACAATATTTTGTGCAAAACTTTTAGCTTGGAAATATTCACTATTTTTAACTTACGATTTTTATAAGTGTGTTCATCAAAACAGTGAATTCATTGAGTTGTAAGACAGCTCACTTCAGCTGAACACTGACCTCTATGTTCCAATTTTGATGATATAAAGTTGAAAACAATCATCAGGAAGCCCTGGACCTGGGTTTCATGCTTGCTATCACTTGTCAGAATGGCGTATCCGCGACCTTGACGGGACCTATGTCCCCTCTGAGATTCGAACCCGCGTCAGCCAGTACTGCAGTCAGGGATGCTAGCACTAAGCTGCTAGACCTTACGATTTACCTGATGTAGGACTAGACACACTGGCACTGGTTACACCCTAGTAACCATTCACAGTCCCAGTTATTTGGTCACTTTTGTTTATAAATTTATACTACTAACAAAATGTAAGTAGATGCATTTGTTCATCTGACAAATGTGTTTCCCTATCATTACTTTTCTTCTCATATTTGAAAATATTTTAGTGGTCATATCAAGTCACATAGCAGAAAAGAAATGAAATCATCAAATCTACAATCTGATTTTACAGACACAATAACTATCCAAAAAGAGACGAACATTTTATGGCCTACTGCAACGCATAAACAGCATGCCATTCACAAATCAACTCCAACAAATCTAAATGTAAAAGCTTCGCTGAAATCCTTACAAATAACTGGTGGTATTTCACAGTCAAAGTTTTCTAAAAATGGATTAAAAGACAATAATATGATAAAATCCACCTCAAACATTGAATATTTAACTGAAACTATTGAACACAAGAATGACGCAATAAACAAAAGTCTTCTAATATGCACTGAATCAAAATGTCCACAGAAACCATCATCACAAGACGCAATAGGTGTACTGAATTCATTGACAAGGTCGGATGAATATTTGACAGCTGGTGTTAAAATTTCTCATGTCTCCAGTCAATCACAAATAAGCTTAAGGCATAAATGTGAACCTATAGGACTGGAGAAAACCAGTCATACACCTTTATCCTCAACGAATATGCAAACAAATAATGAAACGCCATTATTAGTATTATTACCACATAAAATACATAAAACACAAAATTCACTAACTTGTATAAAACAGAGTAAAGCTAAGCCATCCATTAAAACACAACGACTTTCATCAACAAATGAAATCAAGACAGATAATTCAAGTATTAAAACGTTGAACAATATCACTCCGCCAAATTCTACTTCATTTGACAATAAACTCAATAAATCTTCAGATGATATTATTATGAAATCTTCTCATCTTCGGTATAATGGAGATAGTCGAAAACAATCGATAGGTAAAGTCAACGCAAGCAATAAACTTCCAGCAATTGTTACAGTCAAGTCGAATTCACCCAGCCGATCTAGAAAGCATCAAGTAACAGCTGCTGATCATAAGACAATGAATAAGATTCATAAAATACCTGGATTTGTCAGTCGTGTTAATCATAAAGTGAAAATGAGTATTATACACTTTAATGGTAAAAATGTTAGTATAGATTATGACTGCTCATCATTATACCACAATGATATGCATAGACATTCACGTAGAAAGACTATTATATTTCGTAAATTAAAAAATATGAAAATCTCATCCAGCTTACAAAAAAAGATATCAATTAAACAATCAACATGTTTAAATAGCCATGATAATAAACCGCTGAATTCGAATAAGCTTTGTAAAGATCAAAATATGATATAGTAATAACAACTTTAGTAATGACTTCAGTTGCTATAACCATACAAATCCTAGTGATGATTGTGTTGATGATGATGATGAAGATGATGGTGATGACATCTTGTCGAAATCAGCTCAAAAACAAAATTCTAGTGATTCTGGAATTGATGATGGAAGTACAAACGAATCGAAATCTTCACACCTATCCGACAAACCTCTTACGACTGCCAACAACAAAGGGATATTTCATGATGACTCGTTTAACACTTCTGCACAATATACCCAAAAGGCTCCAATTCCAAGCATAAGTGTGATAAACATGCATCCTTGTAAAAAACTCAATTTAAAATTCTTTACGCGTAACTCAGTTGATCAGTATCAAAGAAAGTAGACTATCAGGGGAGAGAGGGGGAGTAAACTCTTTGTACGAAAATCGCCTCATTCATTAATTGAGTGAGTACATTCTGTCTAATTTACTTACAACTGATGGTCACTCTTCAATCAAATGTTTTCTTCTTTACTTTATTTTATTTGATTTTTTGATTTTTGTTTCCTAGGTAGTTGAACTGTCCCCTTACTCATTGTATCACTAATTAAGTTCCTATTTTTCGAAAATTTAATTTCTTATTTAATATATATTTGAGTAGTACAGATAACACGTACACAGATGGAATTCAGCCTACGCTCAGATCAGAAAATGGCTATCTCAGATGTCTATACAAATACAAATTGTCACTTTCGTGTTTCACTATTATTATTATTATTTTACGAAATATTTCTCTAGTTCAGTTGTAATTTATTTGAATTAATATACATTTATGTACCAGAGATTTCATCATCGATTTGATAGATAAATAATTAAATAAATAAATAAGAGGAGGAAATTGGAACATTCCTTCACCTAAACAAAACAAAATCAACAACAACAACAGCAAAAAGAACAAAATAGTTTACTTCGACAAATGAGCTGCAATATTATACTGTTTGGTAAATAATAATTTTTGTGTTGAAAAAAAGTACTACTCACAAGTAGTCAGTTGAAAGACATCCTCCTTGTAAAAGTCTTTATACATTATTGTTGAATAGAAGATTATTTGACTGAATGTCTCTTCATTTCTTTACATAAATATAAAATAAAATAAAACACTGTGACAATGAAGTGGATTTTCTTCTGATTTGATCTCTTTAGGATTATTATTATTATTCTCTTGGGCTTCAGTTGTACGTCTTCATTTCATCCAGTTCTCCTAAAGGGTGTTTTTTCAGTTGGTTCCACAACTGCCCGTCAATTTTCATCTCCTCCGTCTGACACAGTCTCCTCCCATTCTGGTTCGACTAAGGGACATGCCTGGCGCGTGATTTCACTTAGCGGTCTCCTTAGCATGGGCCCAATCCATCTCCATTTTCATCCTTCTGTATCCTTGTTTGGTGATAGGTTTTTTGGTTGGTTCATTCCCTGACACAGTTCATTGTTGTTAATTCTTTGTGTCTGGTTATCTGATCCTTAGTATGGAGCCAGCGATGGCAGTCGTTGATAAGTGAAACTTTTAAGGTTCATTTAATGTTATGAGTCATTTGGTAGGATTCCTAAAAGAATTGAACTTAAACTAATTTTCAACATTGAAGTTTGAACAAAAGTACAGCAGTTCAAGTTGATTCACTTCATGAAGCATATATAAAAGTAGAGAGAAAAAAGAAGTCCAGACTAACTATGATGAACAAAAACCTACAGTAGAAAGAGTAATTACAAGAAGAATATGAATATGTTAAATGTGTGAGATCACAAAGAGTTGAAAAATCGAAATATTGAGGACGATTTTGAACTGTGTTACCAATAATCTGTAGACATCGGTTCTTAGAGTCTCGAGGACTCCAGCCAAGCAATCTACACACCCTTACCTTGCTCAGACCAACAGTCAGGGACTGCATGGATCCATTTGGCGGCCTGCTTGAACATAGGGCTACCAAAAATTCCACCTTACAACATTTTGCAAAATTGCTTTGGTTTGCTCTTTTAATTTTGTTTTAATTTATCAATAATGTGTCCTAATCGTATTATTTATAATCGCGCATTTTTAAAATCATTACAACCTACTGCGTTGTGTCATCCACAAAAATTGAGAAAAAAGCATCACTGTGGATGGCAGCGTGCACTGAAACGTACACAAATTAATCAAATGACTGTTCCTGAACTCGTTAGCACTAATTGTAGATCCCTGTCCAACAAAATGGATTATCTTCAATCCCTAATGTATTCTAATGTTTATCGAAATGCTGGCGTTTTAGCAATACAAGAGACTTGGCTGCACCAGCATTATGATGATAATCTAGTTTCAATAAATGGATATAAAGTTTTTCGCCAAGATAGAAAAAGTTCTAAGAAAAAATGTGGAGGAGGGGTAGCCACTTTTATAAACACAAGTTGGTCTACATCAAATCACGTTTGCTTCAATTATTCTAATGACAATATAGACTGCATAACCGTCAGGTGTCGCCCAAAACACTTAAGTAAATATTCTTATATATACATAACAAATATTTACATAACACCCAATTGTAGCCTTTCAAATATAGTTACGTTTGCAGATGAATTTACTGAATTCGCTGCTCCTGCATTCGGAAACTCGTTGTCTATAGTCTGTGGTGATTTTAATTCATGTGATCACAGCTTTCTTACTTCACTTGGTCATGAGAATCTAGTCAAGTTTAATACACGTCTGGACAAATCACTAGACCTGGTTTTCATAAACGACCGTGATGTATATGAAACCCGAAGGAGAGCTCCTTTGTTAAACTCTGACCACTGCATTATTCGTATTTTACCGAAAGTGTACGGCAAGTTACAACAAAAATTGTTTAGTCATTTAACAAAGAAGATACATGAACGTTCATATTCCCATGACAACATTCTAGCACTAAGAAGCATGTTGTATGATACCAACTGGGAACTATTTACTGACGATAAGTTGGATGCTACTGTCTCTAATATAACCGATTATCTGAAGTTTTGTTTGGATATTTGCTGTCCATATGAAACACTGTTTTCGAGATTTGACAGAATCTCTTCTTTGCAGCTGAAAAAACTTAGAAGACAAAAAGAGAAGTTGTATAAGAATTGTGATAATACTGGTGTCCGTAAAATAAACACCCTTATAAAAATTGAAATAGAAAGGTTGAACAGACTATATAATGAAAAATTTTTATCATGTAAAAATCCTTCAAACATTTGGAAACTTTTCAATAAACTTACAAGTAAAAAACAAATGTCTGTTGATGCTTATTCTGATGTTAATGCTTTAAACAAATCATTTATCATGAAACAAATTAATATGCCTGTACCTGATGTACCTAGTCAAGATAATGGTCATTTTCCGGGTTTTAAAGAAGAGGATGTACTATTATGTTTGAAATCTTTAAATCCAACACACAGCCTTGGTCCAGATGGTGTACCAGGCATTCTTCTTCAAAAGTGTGCAGACATCTTGTGTCATCCTCTTACTCAAATCTTTAATGCATCATTCAACAAGGAAACGGTACCTGCTGACTGGAAAGAAATCAAGGTTGTACCTGTACAGAAATCATCTTCTGGAGCAGGTATAAAGTTTAGACCGGTCGCTATAACATCTCCTTTTTTGAAAACTATGGAGAAACTTCTTTTGAACATTCTTAAACCTTCTTTAAAAGCTTTTAGTGACCCTAAGCAGTTTGCTTATAAGTGTGGAAGAAGTACATTAGATGCAGCCGTTGTACTACACCACAATATTGTTTCCTGCCTTGATAAGGGTGCTAAGTTCGTTCGAACAGCTTTTTTAGACTATACTGCAGCTTTCGACTCTGTTCCTAGGACACTTTTATTAGGAAAGATGATTTCAGCACAGACAGAGACCTGGGCAACTAGATGGCTGTCTTCTTATTTTAAGGATAGGAAACAGCATACTGTTTTGGCTGGAAAGCGCTCCACTTCTCAGCTAACTGAAAGTGGTGTGCCTCAAGGTGCAGTACTTTCTCCATTTCTTTTCTCTTTCTTTTTGCATGACCTTCCGAACTCACCCAAAGTTAACTTCATTAAGTATGCTGATGATCTGACCGTTTCTGTCCCTGTAGTTTCCACATCGGATTGTTCCCATATGAATGGCTTCTTAGCTGAAGTTAAGGATTGGTCTGGCTCAAATGGTCTTAAACTAAATCCAACTAAATGTAATACTGTTGATTTCAGCTTGAGAAGTGAAAAAGACATGCATGGATTGATCCAATCTCATGATTGTTGTAATATTGATGGTAACATGATAGAGAGTAAGTCAAGTGTTTCTTATCTTGGCATTAGTTTCTCTTCAAACCTTTGCTGGTCGTCTCATATTCTTATAGTTTCTAAAAAGATTTTCTGTCTGACTTATTACATAAAGAAGTTGAGGCACTCAGGTATAACCCAATCTCTTCTCATACAATTTATTAATTCATGTGTTTTGCCCATCATTCTTTATTGTTCTCCATTATTCTTCCCTGGGCTACTCAAGAAAGACCATATAATACTACGAAGAACATTGAAGGCTGTAAGTAGGGTCAGTGCTATCCCTTTGACTCAACTAACCGACACTGTTGTCAATAGGCACATGAATTCTTGTAAACACTTAGCTAAAGTTATTTTGTCTGATAGTGAACATCCTCTTTATTCACAATTGTTTCCTTGTATCTCTTCGGGTAAGACCAGAAGAAATTTCATAAACATTTATGCTCGTACTACAAAATATAAAAATTCGACCGTACCATATTTGGCACGAGTATTGTGTGAAGAGACGAATATCAGAAAAGAACTTTTACAACTTTTAAATCATTAACTAAACTATAAAATGTAATGATGCATATTATTGCATGTGTGATTTGTTATATTATTTATTTATTATTCACTATGACCTAGAAATGGTGTGATTTTGTTGGGGTTTTTATTTTTTCCTATTAATTATCAATATTTTTAACATTTCATACATTTATATAATTATAAAAAGAGCTAAACCAATGCAATATGTAAAATGAAACGCTGAAAATTCCATGCTGTAAATTGTTATTGTTGTGGAATAAAGTGATTATTATTATTTGCTCAAACTGTCGGAGCAATGCATGTTTCCTCTGACCTGGAATATGCATCAATCTTAACTCTAATTTACTCAAGTCACAACTGACTGTTCTTAAAAGTGAATAAATCACACCACTAAGTCACTGAATGGTAAATACTGCAGCTGTCTATCCTTGAGTACTAATCAAAATCTATTGTCTACGTGTTGAATATGATCCCTGAGCTAACTGGTAGAATTTTACAGGGTACTTTTGTTATAATGCTTGCATTCTTTTACGCTACCATCTGTTTGACAATTCATTCTTAGTTTTAAATACTTT